AGAAACCACGGAGTTGTTTCCCTGCCCTTGATGCTTTCACTGCTCTCAGGATGAAGGAGAGCTTTGTAGTGACCAGCAGCCAGGACTGCACCATCAAGATCTGGAACATCCCGGAATCCCTCACTTCCAAAGCTAAAGCAGCCTTGATCTCCAGCCCAGAGCCCCTCCATGCCAGGGTCACTGAGAGGGGCCATGACAAGGTACAGCTCCAGCTGATCTCTCAGTGCTTCAGCCTGTTTGTTCAATGTCTCACAGCCAGGCCTGACCCTCTTCCTCTTCCTCCTCCTCCTCCTCTTGTGGCTTCCCCAGGACATCAACAGCGTGGCAGTGTCCCCCAATGACAAGCTGCTGGCCACGGGCTCGCAGGACAGGCTGGCCAAGCTCTGGTCCTGCTCCGACTGCTCCCTGCTGGGGGTGTTCTCTGGGCACAAACGTGGCATCTGGTGCGTGCAGTTCTCCCCTGTGGACCAGGTCCTGGCCACCTCCTCGGCCGATGGGACCCTCAAGCTTTGGGGACTTCGGGATTTCAGCTGTCTGAAGGTGATGAGAGCTTTGCCTCTTGCCCTGGGCAAAACCTTGGGGTTCCTCAAGGATCCTTCCAAAACTTGGAGCTTTGGGCTTTGGGAGTAACTGGGATCCTTTGGGGTCTCTCCAGAGGCCTGGCACCGCTGAGCTCCCTTTGTGTTTTGCAGACCTTTGAAGGCCACGATGCCTCAGTGCTGAAGATCATCTTTGTGAGCCGAGGGGCTCAGCTGCTCAGCAGGTTTGTGCCTGATTCCAGAGTCAGGGAATGTCTGAGCCCATCAGCAGCACCAAGAGGAAACACTCCTGTGTCCAAAGAATCTTTGGACAGGTTTATAGGAAGATGCCCTGTTTAGGCCAGGCTTTCTGTAGAGGTTATTTTAATATTCCTGCTCTCCAGGTGTCCCATGGGTTCCACGTGGCTGCTGTGGCATTGCTGGGTTGGGACGAACTCAGTGACAAAGCCAAGGGTGCATCTTGCCCTCCACATTTTTGGTTAACTCTGCTCCAATTTGGAAGGAATTGGGATATTTGTTCAATTCATTCAAGTCCATCTGGTATTTGAGGTGGGACAGAGCAAGAATGGATCTGTCCAGTGAATCTTTCTGTTGTGTTTCTCTTCCAAAAGTGGATCTGATGGTCTCTTAAAACTCTGGACAATTAAAACAAATGAGTGTGTAAAAACACTGGATGGTCATGAGGACAAAATCTGGGGCCTTCACTCCAACAAGAAGGATGACATGGTCGTGACAGCCTCCAGTGACTCCTGCATCACCCTGTGGCAGGTACAGCAGGGGCTGCCTCCTCCCTGGGTTAATAATCAGGGTGATTGGAGAGCTCAGGGTCCCAGTGGCTTGTTTTTCATGTGTTCTCCTTGTCTGCAGTTTGAAATTAGGTCAGCAAGGCTGATCTTGGGGTTCAGGGTATTTTTTGGCCATTCTGTATGTCCCCAGAGCAGCAGATGGGCCCCAGCACTGGAACTTTGGAGGGAAGTTGGAAATTTAACATTTAAATTACTTGACCACAAGATTTTGCTGCAGAAACTGGTCCCACATCACCTGATGGCCAAATCAAAACCCTTCTGTATTAAAGCAGGATTTGATAAAGTTTGATCCTGTTTTTTTTTTTTAACAGGATGTGACTGAAATTGAGGAGAAAGAAGCACAGGCTAAACAGGAGGAGCAGATTATGAAGTGAGTTGATCTTGTGTCATGAAGAGCTGTGAAAGGCAAGCTGTGCAGTGGAACTGTCCCCACCTGGAGCCATCCAGCTCCACCTGATCCCAATATTGGAGTGAGGGCGTTTATTGATGAGCGCCACAAACTCCTTAACTTTTATTTCCAAATCTGCTGCTTTTTCTGTGGTTTTGGTTTTCTCAGCACCTGAAGATTTGTCTCACTCTCACTCCTGATTTGTTTTCCAGAGAGCAAGAGCTTTCCAACCTTCTCCATGAGAAGAGGTTCCTCAAAGCTCTGGGCCTGGCCATCTCCCTGGACCGGCCGCACACGGTGCTGACCGTGGTCAAGGGTGAGTCCAGAGCGTGCTCTGAGGGCATTTCCTGCCCTCCCTCCTTTCCTGGACGCCCCTTCCAGCCAGCTCAGGGCAATAATTACTCTGAAATCCTGAGTTTTCCCTGAGTGCCGTCACCAGGGTGCCCCTGCTGTGGTTTCTCTCCCCAGCCATCCTCAGGGAGCCCGAGGGGAGGAGGCACCTGGAGGAGAACATTGTTCGGCTCCGCAAGGATCAGAAAGGTTTGTGGCACAGCTGAAGTGCTGAAAGCGTCCAGGTCAGAGGCTTTTCTGTCACTGAAATTAGAATCCTGCAATCCTGGCATGGTTTGGGTTGGGAGAGTGTTCAGTTCCACCCTCTGTCGTGGGCAGGGACACCTTGAGTAGAGCAGGACTTGGCACTTGCAGGGATGGGGAATGTCCCTGGTGGGACCTCAGTGAGAGCCCAGGGATGTTTTCAGTGTGGGCTGTGCTGTGTGCCAGCCTGGCCAGGCTTCCTTCCCCCCACAGAGGCCGTGCTGGCCTTCCTGGTGACGTGGAACACCAACTCCAGGAACTGCCACGAGGCCCAGGCTGTCATGGAGACCCTGCTGAGGCACGAGGCCCCCGACACCCTCCTGCAGTTCTCAGGAATCAAATCTGCTGTGGAGTCCCTGCTGCCCTACACAGGTGAGGCTCTGTGGGGACAGGAGGGGCTGGCTTGGGTCAGGGATCATGGAATGGTTTGGGGTGGAAGGGGCAGGTCAGGTAATCCACCCCTGCCATGGCAGGGACACCTTCCTTCCACCATCCCAGGGTGGGATCCTCATCCTCAGCCACCATCCCAGGGTGGGATCCCCATCCCAAACCACCATCCCAGGGTGGGATCCCCATCCCAAGCCTCAATGTCCAGCCTGGCCTTGGGCACTGCCAGGGATCCAGGGGCAGCCCCAGCTGCTCTGGGCACCTGTGCCAGGGCCTGCCCACCCTGCCAGGGAACAATTCCTCATTCCCAGTATCCCATCCATGCCTGCCCTCTGGCACTGGGAGCCATTCCCTGTGTCCTGTCCCTCCATCCTTGTCCCCAGTCCCTCTGCAGCTCTCCTGGAGCCCCTTCAGGCCCTGGATGGCTCCCTGGAGTGTTCCCCTGTCCAGGCTGGGCATTCCCAGCTCTCCCAGCCTGGCTCCACAATCGAGGGCAGGGTTCTGGTGTCTCCCCCATGCCCTGAGCCCATCTCCCCTCCCTGCAGAGCGCCACCTCCAGAGGCTGAGCCGCCTGCTCCAGGCCTCCACCTTCATCGAGTTCATGTGGCACAACATGAGGCTGGCAGATGTGGCCCAGCAGGACCAGGGGACTCTGTGACCCTCCCTCCTCCCACCAATTGCTCTTTCCAAAGAGCTCTTTCCCACCAGGATTTGTAGTTCCTGTATTTTATAATAAATGTTTTCATTTCTAAGCCAAGTCTAACATTCAGTCTCCTCAGGAATGAATGAAAGGAAAAGGTAATTTCTTTGGCCAAGCTGGGGTTTGTGTTTTCACAACCTGAATTTTCAGACTCACAAACAGCAGGTAGTTTGGGATTTTAAAAAGGCAAAATCCCAATGAGCAGTTGGGATTTAAAGTGTTCATGGAGCTGGGATCTTGCTTGGGCAAAGCAGCCTGGACCAAGGCAGGGGTCTCACCTGTGCCCACCCAAAATTTAGCACCTGGGAGGAAGAGAAGGACAATTTAAATTCCCCAAACAGCAAAATTTTAAAGCATAAAACAAGCAGGCTTCAGAGATATTTACATGCATTTTGCTTCATAGACAAAAATGTATAAAATTCAAACAACACAAACAGCTCACAATTTCTTTATAAAAATATTAACAGGTACCTGGGAGAATAAGTACAATTAAAGCCATTAGTGTAGAGAAAAGTCTTGATTTTCCTGTAACTCTTTTTCTAACTCATTTCTAGCTAATGAGTTGAGGATTAGAATTGTTGTTTCAGTAACTAGCCAGTCCCCTGGGAAGAGGAATGTTTTGTCCATAAAGGTGACCTCTGTTCCCATCCCCAGGTGGGACAGGAGCTGTGGCTCCCCTGGTTGTGTTCCTGTGCTGCACAGGCATGGCTGCAGGGAGCAGGGATGAGCTTCCTCCCCAGCAGGTTTTTTATTCTCACAACCATTCAGCACATCCAGCCCATCCCTGTATTTCATGACCTCTCCACTAACCTATAAAAAAAACCTCCAAACCGACACCAAAAGTCAAAAAGTTTTTAAAAATACCTATAAAACAGGGGGTTCAGTAGGTGCCATCATACATCCCATCTCTCCCCAGTCCCATGGCTGTGTCCCCTCTGTGCCAGGGGGCACAGAGGCACTCTGGTGCCGCTCCTGTGCCCTCCATGGTGGCCGTGGCTGTGCCAGCTGATCCTGGCATGGGGAATAGCCCAGCTGCCCTGCAGGGAGGGGAGCACCTGCCTGGGGGAGAGCTCTGAGTGACCTCCAGCCCTCGAGCTGCTGGAACTTCGAGTGACCCCACAGCCCTGTCCCGGTAACTCCCTGGTCCCTGGGGAAGCTGCAGCTGCCCAGGGAGGTGATGGAGGTGTGTGTGTCCCTCAGGAGGGGACAGTCCCAAGCCCTGACACTCCAGAAGTGATGGATCTGTGTGTCCCTGGGGAGGGGACAGTCCCAAGCCCTGACAATCCAGAAGTGATGGATCTCTGTGTCCCTGGGGAGGGGACAGTCCCAAGCCCTGACAATCCAGAAGTGATGGATCTGTGTGTCCCTCGGGAGGGGACAGTCCCAAGCCCTGACAATCCAGAAGTGATGGATCTCTGTGTCCCTGGGGAGGGGACAGTCCCAAGCCCTGACAATCCAGAAGTGATGGATCTCTGTGTCCCTGGGGAGGGGACAGTCCCAAGCCCTGACACTCCAGAGCTGCTGCCCACGGCTCCCAGGAGGCTCCAGGGTGCCAGGGCTGTCCCCGTGCCCCCTGCCCAGGGTCCCTAACGCTGGCTGGGGTCCGGGAGGGCCGGCCGGGGGGCCGAGTGCTGCACAGCTCGCTTGGTGACGGTGCTGCAGCGCTGCAGGATCTCCTGGGCTGAGGGACGGGCCGGCACCTTGGGGACACCCGCGGCCAGCTCGGGCTCGGCGAGGGGCGGCCCGGCTGTGGAGGACTCCACGAAGCCGGAGTCGTTCCTGTCGCTGGCACTGAGCTCTGGGGATTTGCTGCTGCGTGTGCCCAGCTCGTGGCTCGGGCCAGGAGAGCTCCTGGCCGGCTCCACCTCGGGCAGGGACCGAGACAATTGGGGTTTCCAGGCCAGCCGGGCGTTCCCGGCGCTGCCGCCGCCCGAGCTCAGCGAGGAGCTGTCCGAGCCCAAATCCAGCCCTGGGGCGGAGCTGGCCTGGGGCAGGGAGCGGGATCTGCTCCTGGCAGAGCTGTGCTCCTCCCGGGAGCTGAGGCTCGGGGTGCAAGCGTGCAGGCTGCAGCTCAGGATGCTCTGGAGCTTGTGGTGAGGGTTCTGGTAGGGCCGGAGGCACAGCGAGGGCATGTAGCCAGTGCAGCCGTTGTACCTGAGGGCAGGGATGGAAAAACACTGAGAAAACCCTTCCAGCACCTCGGGCCAAGGGGAGGGAGCACTTGGGGAGCAGGTCAGTGCTGTACACGGGCTGTGAGGACATCCCCAGCCAAGGACATCCAGCTCTGGGGGCTCCTGTGCATCCCACACAGGAGGAACAGCAAGCAGCTGGGCTTGGGAAAGCCTCACCTGATCAGCCACCAGCCATTGTGGGACGTCCTGAGCACCTCCACGACCACCCCCTGGTTCAGTGACAGCTCATCTGCCTTCTGAGCCTCGTAGGCCTGCACCACAAAGTACAGACTACCTGCAGAGAGAGGGAAAGGTTGGATTTGCCTCGTGGAGAAAATGCTCTGATCCCTGTGAGAAACCAGCCCAGCTGCGGGGCAGCTGTCCCTCAGAGTGACTGGTTTGCTCAAGGACCCCAGTCTGATCCATTTAAGTTGAATATAAAGAACTTTTTACAAAAAGGGTGGGCAGGCCCTGGCACAGGGTGCCCAGAGAAGCTGTGGCTGCCCCTGGATCCCTGGAAGTCTCCAAGGCCAGGTTGGACAGGGCTTGGAGCAGCCTGGGACAGCGGAAGGTGTTGGGGTTGGAACTGGATGGGCTTTAAGCTCTCTTCCAACCCAAACCAGTCCACGGTTCCATGACCCACAGGGGGTGGCAGAGCCAACCAGAAGAGTCAGAGGTCCAGGCAGGGGCTCCAGGCAGTGGGTAAAGTGGTGGGGGTTTGCAGAACTCGTGTTTTGAAGGAGGAACAGACTCACCCTCCTCATCTGAGCTGAAGTCATTCTGGATGTCCTCATAGGCATCAAGCTCTTCCAGGTATGAGGCTGGGAACCAGGCTATCTGCTTGTCTGCATTTTCCACCAGCCACCAGCCTACAAAGAGGAAGAATACTCAGATTTTAACAGCCTGCAAGTCAAGACATGACAATAATGCCTGGGTGGGGAACACAAGGGACAGGAGGGACAAGTGCAAACACCTGAACCCCTGACACTACCTCAGCATTTGCCTAGCTATGAATCCATCTGCCCATCCACCCCAACACTGAATCGTCTCAGACCTACCAGTCATGTCCTTGATGAGCACTTCCACAATCTCCTCCTGAGCCACTGTGAAGGGTTTGTTCTTTGTGTCTTTGGTTTCAAAGGCCTCGACGCAGCGGTAGCTCTGCGACGCCTGAGGGAGGGTGATGGAGAGGGGCTGGGGGCTCTTCTCCCTTCTGAACACTGATGGCATGATCACAGCACTGGAAAGTGAAGGTGCACATCAAAAACTCATGTGAGAGGTTGAGTTTAGTATTGATTTTGGTAAAATCATTTCTGCAGTAGGCTGAGAAATGCTTCAGTCATCAGAAACAAAATGAAAAGCACCCAGCTGAACTGCCCTGGAGTGTAACTGGTGTTTCCCTTCTATCCATATCCCATGACATTTCTGTTTCATCAACAAACAAAAAAATACAATTCATATTTCACACCTGTTTTCAGGGAAGGAGGGATCGAGGTCTTGTGTCTGTGCCTTGAAAAACTGAATCACCTCTTCACCCCGGGAGATTTTCACATCGGTTTTCAGCAGCTCCTGGGAATACGTTTCCAGCAGTTTCAGGATCTCCAGGCACCTGTTCAGCTTGCCACCCTTCCTCTGCTGCATAGTTATTCCTTCAAAATAACAAGGGCACAGCTGGGATAGGACAGCAATGGATCTGGGTCCCTGGAGCAGCAACTTTTCCCTGAACACCAGGTGCCCTCAGCCACCACCCTTCCTGCCCAAGCCCAAACTGTACAAAGGCACTGTCCCTCCCTCCCTGTCATTTTTAACAGCTCCTGATAGGATTTTTTAACATCTAAGATTTCTCTTTTTTTCACATGTAAAGTTTCAAGAAGCTCTAGGTCAATATTTGAAGTGTAGCATTATTTGCTAAGTGCAGCTATCTATTAAAAAAGCTTTTCTGGACTATTTTAAGTCTGTACTAGACCCAAACATGATGATGTGACCCAGTGGTGCCATGGCAGGAGCAGTGAGCCCCTGATCTGTTCCAGAGGAAGGTCAGACTCAGAGGCTTCAGTCTCTGTCATGGGTATGGCTGTCCCTGATCACTCTTGGGTTTGTTGGTCCATCAGAGATTTGTCCTTACCTTTAAACCTGGGTAAACTCCTCAGTGACCCACTCTCAGTGGGGAACTTTCTCTTCAGCTCTTTCTAAAAGCAAGGAGAAGGAGAGGACAGTGATTCCTCACAGCTGACACATGGCCGGGCTCCTTCCCCTCCCCAGGACAGGAACCTTGAAATTTCAAGAATTGGAAATTCACTTACATGGAATTTCCTAAAGTCTTCAAACGTCCTGTAGATGAGAATGTTGTTCTGATCTGACCAGGACACAAACATCATGTAGTTCTGGGAAAAGAAAAGGGAAAAGAAAAGCAGTTTAATCACAATGTTCAATTTTGGATGCTTCCGGACAATCAGCATTTGCTATGGCTTAGTTGAGGCTTTTAATGTCACATTAAAAAATTAAATAAAACATTAAACCTACAAAATTTCATAGTCCTAGATGGGTAATCATTGCTGAAACCAGGAGAATTTTATGGTGCTGTGACAAAAAGAAGGCAAACCCCAAGATATTAAGCTCATTAAAAACCAAGTCCCCTTATCCTAGACCCCTAGGCTCCAATCCCAATACTATGGGGAACGAACAAATACCCCTGCAAAATCCTCTAGTCTCCCAGTTTGTAAATTACATTTAAGGAAGAAAACAAAGCCAAAAAAAACCCAATAAAAATTAAAGTACCTTCTGTTTTCTGCACTGCATGAAGCCCACAGCCTTCACATCCACGGGATACCTGCTACAGCTCATCTTCCCCACGGCTGCTGCTCCTCCTTCGCGGGGAGCCAGAGGGATGGAGAGGGAAGGATGAGAGCTGGAGGGATGGGAGCTGGAGGGATGGGAGCTGGAGGGATGGAAAGGGAAGGATGGGAGCTGGAGGGATGGGAGCTGGAGGGATGGAAAGGGAAGGATGGGAGCTGGAGGGATGGGAGCTGGAGGGATGGAAAGGGAAGGATGGGAGCTGGAGGGATGGGAGCTGGAGGGATGGAAAGGGAAGGATGGGAGCTGGAGGGATGAGAGACGGAGGGATGTGATCTGGAGGGATGTGATCTGGAGGGATGTGATCTGGAGCGATGGGAGCAGGAGGGATGGGAGCTGGAGGGAGCAGAGATGCAGCTCCAGCCCGACTGCCCAATTTAAACGCCACGGAGCAGGAGGCAGGGCAGAGGTGTTCCCGAGCTTCCTCCTCCGCCCAGGCCGGGCAGAAATTCCGCGATTTGCCAAACTCCGCGTGCCTTTTACCTTTCGCCCCGCTTTGAACATGCAAATGCTGCCGGCTGCAGGAGGGACAGAGTTCAGGGAGCCGGGGAGGAAAAACACACTCTGTTATCACATCCTTACTCACCAGTGCCGGGAAGGAAGGAAGGGAAGGGAAGGGAGCGGGGCTGTTTGCCAGCGCTGGGGCAGAGTAGGTCACAGGGGCTGCAGAACCTGGCCCGAGATGTTTCCGGGAGACAGGTGAGGGTTTTATGGCTGTAATACACGAACCTGAGCTCGGGCTGAGCTCACTCCAGCCCCAAAGGCTGATTTAGAACGCGGGTTGTAAAACACAGATCAGGCACCATTAAATGTGAGTAATATTTGTTGCAAATATTTTTTCCTTCTTTGTCCCACCTGCCGAGTTACTTAAAATAGATTTCAGACAGTTTTATCAGTAACTCCATTGAGATGCCGATGTAATGAACAGACACATTCCCAGGATGTAACTAAAAGACTGAAAGCTCCTCAGGTGTAAATATGTGATGGAAATTCAGCTCTGAGTGCTCTGCCCTGTGTGCAGCCAGGCGTCCACACCCTCCCAGGGCAGCCAGCAGCTCTTCCTAAGGAGCAGCTCCACTGCCCAGGGGCTCAGCAGCAGAGATAATTCCAGCCCTGGCCAGCCTGTCCTCTCCCTGAACCTCAGGGCTGATGGGCACCGAGTGATCAAAGCACCTCTTCTTTGATAAAGCCTCAATTGAACCATTCTCACTATAATTATCTTTATCATTATCATTATTGGAACCCAAACGGAGAGGCTCAGCCGTGCCTCCCTTTCATTTCCCAGCTACACCTGGTGCCTCAAACCCTCAGCAATGGCTACAGATGATTTTTCATCTACCAAAACCCCTCCCAGAACTGGAACAGGGAGCCAAACCAGATTCCTTCTGGAAAATACAGTCAGGAGGGTCTTGGTTTGTGATCCATGAGCACGGGAGGCTGCTCCCACACAGCAGGGCAGCAGTTTCTGGAGACAAAGAAAGCAGGGTTATTGCAGTTGGATTTATTGCTGCTGGATATCTGTCCTGCATTAAATAGGGAAAGTTATCCAAAGAGCACTTTGGTTCAGTGTGGATTTTGGAGAGAAAATCTCTCCCACAGCATCTCCAAGGCATTTCCTGGCTCAGGAAGGTGCACAGGAGCTGCCCTGTGGAAAAGGGATCTGGAGCAGCTCCCTGCCCTCCACAGCCCTGGAATCAGACCCTCCATCCTCTGTTATAAATCCTCCAGCCAAACCATGTGCTGGTAAATCTCCCCAAATCACAGAGCGAGGATTTTATGGAGTGAGAGGAAATCACTTCATCCAGCAGACTTATTTAGAAAGTTCCAGTCTCTGAGGTGCCAAAACCCTTTGCTGATTCCATGTCCTCAAACCTGCACTCCTTGGCTTCTCCTGGGCAGCTGAGCCAGGGCCAAGCTGCCCCTCATGTGGCTCTATTAAATGGCTCTTGGAAATATCTGGGACCAAGACTCCCAGTGAAACACCTTGGCTTGGTTCCTGTCTCAGAGCAAACACAAACCACGATGTATTTCCAAGAATGTAAAGGTTTAAGCATGTTTATCCTGACTGGGAAAAGCCAAAAATAAGGAAAGCCTTGGAGGAGCTGCAGGATGAGGAGAGAGCAGGAGAGGCTCGGAGAGCACCTTGATCTCAGGATGCCATAAAAACCAGAAGAGTAGGAAATAGCCTTGGTTTTGCTGTGTTTCATCATTCTCAGGGCATTCAAGCAGAAAGGGGGTGTGGAAAACATCTAATGGAATGTTACAACTGGAAGGTGAAGCTACACAGGGGTTTCCAAGTCACTCAAGGCAGAAGGACCAGCCCTGCAGCTTAGAGAGCTGATCTTCTGGAAAAGATTGGACTGACTGGGAGCTTGCTGGTGACTGTGGTGTTGTATAAATCCAAATATGAACAAAACTGCTCAAAACTTAATAATTGGTTATTGAGAAAATGTTTTGTGGAAGTGGAGGTCTGTGTGACACAGAACTGAGGCGCAGGGAGGGGAGGGGAAAGCCTGCCACTCCTCTGAGACACCAACACCTCTGGAGTCACCCGCAGGGCTCAGCTCCAGCTCTGCAGCTGTCACAGCAGTATCGGTGTCCCAGAGGTGTCAAGTGTGATGTCACGAAACTGTCAGCTCCAGGATGACCTCAGGAGCCACGTCACCTCTGCAGTGACACTGCCCATGAAACTGCGAGGAGGCTGGGCCAGATGGCCTTGGATGGGCACAGTGCTCCCCAAAGCTCCCCACAACTCCCAGCCAGGGCAGGACCCATTGGCAAGGATGGGTCACCCACCAGCAGAGGCCACAGCTCCACTGCTCTGCTGGATGCATTTGGACTCGCTTATAAAAAACAAGACAAACGTTGTTTTTCCGGCATTATCAAGTTTACTTTGTGTCTTCTACAGTTCCCATGTCATCCTGCCATAAATCAGTGCCTCTCATGGGTAATAATTAATGGCAGGGGAGGAGGGGGCTGCCCAGAAAAAGTGATACTCAGCAGGAATTACTGGATGCTGCTGTTTCATCATCGATATTTATTTACACAGCTCTGTGGGCAGCAGTTTATTTTCCTTTAGTTGCTTTACAAGGTACCAAAGAGATCATAAATTAACAGGCAGTATGCAGGAGTGCACTGCCCAGCTTTGCCAAGATACAGGACACACAGATTTTTCCATGATGACTCCCATAATTTTGCACTCTGCTCCAAGAGAGCCTCCTGCACCCCACCAAGGTGCAGCTCTGCCGCTCAAGGAGCATCACTCCAGCCACAAACAGCTCCTCTGGGAACAGAAACATGTTTGTGTCACAGCAGGTGACTAAGGCACTGTCACAGGGAGTCACACCAGCCTGCCTGCCCCAGACTGCCCATGGCTGGGAAGATGAAGGAGGTCACCCAGAGGCTGCAGGAAGGCCCCCGAGTCACCAGGGCTGTCCCACTGAGTACTTCCATTCCAGGATCAGCCTCATTCCATGACAAATAAACACTGATGGTCTCTTTTCTATTCATTTCAGTGTGGACGAGGAGTAACTTCAGCAGAAGCAGAATCTGAGTGCACAGATGCTCGGGGGCAGCCAAAGGCAGCTCCTCTCCAGCTCCTCCTGAGCCATTTTCCAGGTCCAACAAGAAACAGCCTTGTCCCAAATGCTTGGAGAGGAGCAGCCGTGTTCTGAACATCTGTCCCACACACACAGGTTGTGTCTGGGCTGCTGAGTGACCTGTGCCCCTCATGGCTGACGATGTGTGGGACTGTGCATCAGGGATTTCTCCTTCTATGGCCGGCCCAGGAAAGGCAAAGAGAGGAAAAGTCCTCAAACCACCCTCAGGACACTGCAGCTGCGAGGAAGAGATACAGAAAGGAGCTGTGGGCACAGCCAAGGGGGGCCTGGAACAAAGCTGGGGGAAAAGCTTCATCTTTCCCTTGCTCACCCTCAGGATCAAAACCTGCCCTTTACTGTTCTTGAAGGTCACCTGTGATGACACATGACCTATCAGCACCTTTAATGAAAAGCCCAGATGCTAAAAGCCGATTTTAAAAGTACAAAGAGGTTTTAGACTTTTAATAAATAGAGAAACAGACCTTTATCTAAAAAGAATAATGAAAACCCAGACACTGGAGTTGACAAAAGTCTCCTTCACATCATGAACAAAGGGAGCAGTTGAACTTTCACACAGGCTGGGATGAGAGATTTTGCAGTAACTAATCCAGAAGAAAGTATTTCATTTTATCCTAATTCCAGCAGCTGCTGCAGGCACTAAAGCACTTCTCTGTGGCAGACCCAATTCAGGAACTCTTTGAGCCCAGGGAGCAGCTCAGCCCTTTCCCACTCCATCACAGGAGCCTCCCAAGGAGCACATCCCTCCTCAGTGCAGGGGGTCACTCACTCCTCACAGGCAGCTTTATTTCAGGATCCAAAATCTCAGCATTGCATCAAACTCCCTGAAACCTCACTCCTGAGGTGTCATTTTCTTTGCAAAGCCCTTGGGATGGCCCTGTCCAGCCCAGGGAGAGCTCTGCCCGTCTCAGGAGCTTTGCTCGCTGCCTGGGGCACGCACAGCGCACGGGCTCTTGTTTACCAAGCACTTGTTGAAATAATTTCCTTGTTGTTTTATAAAAGTGACATGTTTTCCTACGGTTATGCAAAATACAAAAGCGTGATTCGAGAAGGAATCTTCCAGAAAGGGTGAGAATGTAACTTAAGCTGCTTCAAGAAGAGGAGGTTCCCTGAATTATTTTTTTTGTAAAAGCTGTGTTTGATGAGTGCACAGCACGAGGGCAGAGCTTTGTGGACGTGCTGTGACCCAGAAATGAGATGTGAAGGCAGAAGAAAAGCAGGGTGAAGTTTCCAAGGACGTTTGAGGCTCTGCAGTGCTCAGCCTGCCCTACACATTCCAAAATCTGGTGGGAGAAAATCCCAGCAACACCAGTACAGCCAACAGCAAGCGCAGCAAGCACGAGTGAACATGAAGAAATACTGTTTTCACTTGGGGAAAATCTGTTCTTACATCATGCTAAATATAGTAAATTGATCGGAGACAGGACCGTTGTGTTCCTTCCAGATTAGTCAGAGATGCTCATCCCACTCTTTCCCTTTCCTCATTCCCCACGGCCATCGAGGAGCAGAGCAGGCAAAGCCTTATCTGTCCTGGGGATTTCACCAGCTAAATGTCCGTCTGCATTTCAGAGCAAAGACAGCAACTTGTGTTCCTTGGCCCCTCCAGAAACCAGGGAAAACCAGACCCAATCTTCACTCAAAAGCCTGGTAGGAGAAGAGCAATGTGGAAGGGATTGTTCTTTCATTTAGGTTTAATTCTTAATGAGTCCAAACATAGAAACTGTTACCTGAGGAAAACCTCTCCCACTGAAGGAGATTTCCTGTTGAATTCCTTTGACCTTCTTCTGGAAAAAAGGAATTATCCCAAGTCGGGGGCCACTCTCCTATTGCAAAGCCAAGAGGAACAGGAGCTCCTCACTGAAGACTTTGTTTTTCAAGAGCACAAAAGGAACCCCCAAGTTTGCTGTGTTTATCCTCAGAATGGATGAACTGATTCCAGGGAATCTCAGGGTGGGTCTGGGAAGGAGGAGATAGATTGGAGCATGACACAAACGGAACTGCTTAAACCAACCTGCAGAAATAATTTGGTTTTCTCCCTGCCCCTGCCATCACCATTACTCATGGATTCTCATTTTAATCAGCAAAAGGATCCACACATAAAAATGGCACCAACTTTAAAAGAACAAACTCAGTGTCGGGTGTAGGTGCCCAGATTTGAGCAAGGCAGTGCCTTGTGCTGTCCTTCAGACTGTTCTGAACACATTTCAACAGTTCTGGATGGATCTGATCTGACACACCTCACCCATTCCCTGGCAGGGGGGCTGCTGCAGGCTTCTTCCTGATATCTGAGGGATAAATTCATGCTTTTGGGAAATTTTGCAGGTGATAAAGTTCTTCTACGCAGGCAGAGAGGATCAATATGATTCACATACCTAGAAATAAACGTCTTTTTTGTTGTTGTTGCTATTTCCTAGTTGGCTGTAATTTCTCAAGCAAGTCTATGACTAGTTCCTGGTGCTGGTTTATCACTGGTCAGACTTTCGGCTCATACTCTTGCATGTAAATACAAGACAGCTTCCTGCTGTATTGCAGGAATACAACCCAGGCTGCTCCAAGCCCTGTCCAGGCTGGCCTTGGGCACTGCCAGGGATCCAGGGGCAGCCACAGCTGCTCTGGGCACCTGTGCCAGGGCCTGCCCACCCTCACGGGGAAGGATTCCTCCCCAAAATCGAATTTGTGTGAGGAGTTTGTTTGGTAACAGGCTCTAGCACACCCCAGCTCCTAAATCAGTGCTGGGAGCAGAGGGTTGGGTGGGTTAGGGCTGTCCAAAGGGGAGCAGGAGGGAATGTTCCCTCATCCTTCCTCGGCTCTGCACCACATTCCTTCCTTTGGATGGAAATAATTTGGCTCTTCACTTGGATTCAATTAGAGACAGTTAAGTGAATTTCCTTGCTCTGACTTCATTTGGAGTATTTCTCTATTTTTTAAACTTTGAAATCATAGCTGATGCTGGAGATGATGGCAAGTGGAGAAAATTGGGAGGACCTTGTCCTAAAGAGTCAGCTCTGCTGCTAGAGCTGAGCAGGAAATGGGCAAGGGGAGCAATGTGGAGCACAAATCTCTGTAACCAACAGCCTCCTTCAAGGCCTTTCCTTTTCAATAAAAATGCTGATGTTTTAACTGAATCCATAAATTAAATCACAATCAAGGAAGCAAAGTCTGCTAACGGTCAAACCAGGAGATTGCTGTGACTTGGAAACATCTCTGTGCCTGTTTAATTGCTTGAAGACCAAACAATAAAGCTCTAGAGGAAATTCCCTCAGTATCTCATTCTCTTTTTTCCTGACTTTACAAAAATTAATGAGGTCATGAGCATCAGTTAAAACATTTATTGGTGGGCAAGGAAAACAGACATAAAAATGTTGCTGTCCCTACTTGATCTTTTCTTTGCGTGTGAAATTTATCCTTACAGTTGTCTACAACTTTAAACAAAGCCATTCCAGCAGCTCCTACCAGTAACTCACGTGTCTTCTCCCTCCCTCGCAAAAATCAGCAAATAAATATTCCCAAGAAATTGCAAATAAATAAAAATAAAGGAGCACTGGTAAATAGAGACCCCAAGATGGAGATCCAGACCATCAGCTTACAGTGCTCCACAGAGCAGGAACAGCGCAGCCATTTCCACATGAAACACAGCAAGTGTTGAAGTATTTTTGAGGGCAAGTCTCTGAGGTATTTCTCTAAAATGATGCTTTTTCTAATACACATTTTACACCACACTGTGTTAAATAAATCACATATATATATTTTTTATTTATATTTTAATATATATATATATTTTTTTTTTTTAAGTTTTGGTCCAGCTCCATCCTGGACATACATTCATTTTCATTAAGCAAAATATTAATATTTTTCACTTGATCTACAGGAGGTGAACAGGAGAAAAGTTGAAGTGAAAACAAAATTCATATTGTTCATTGTAGGATACTTGTGGCTCTCAAACCTTTAAGAGTATGACAGAATCAAGCCAAAAAGAAGGATGTGAGCAAGTCTGTGCTGCTCTCCAAGTTTTCACTCTCTGACCTCTATTAGGAATTTTGTAAGGCCACAGCTAATTAACATTTCCCAGGGGTGAAAGAGCAAGCTCCAAAGTCTGATGCCAGGCTGGACAGTTGCCCAGGTTACCCCTCTCATGGGCTCACAAGCCTGTGGCTCTCTGGGAATAAAAGAAAAAATGCTAAATGTCCACTCAAGACCAAGGCCCTGAGACCAGATCTGGCTCTCCATCATCCTGAGGAGCCCAGCCACTCCCAGCAGCGCCTGCCCTGGTGTGACACATGCCAACACTCCCAGAAAGAGGAAAATCCTCCCTCAGTATGGATTTACAAGCATGTGACAGGTGTTAAAAACATGGGCAACTTCATATGGGCGTGTTGCTATAAAGGAGCATGAGATGAATGGAGTTATCCACTTGTTTGTCCATAAAATCGCCCTGTTGATTGTATGAGTCTGCTGGAGATAACGCTGAGGTGCCCGTCAGCACCGCTGGCACGAAGGAGAGCTGCTGGGTGCCATGGGCTCTGCCACACACAGTATCTACACATCCCAGAATCCCAGAATAGTGGAGTTTGGAAGAGATCATTCAGTGCAGCCCCTGGCCAGGCAGGGTCACCTGGAGCAGGTGACACAGGAACGTGTCCGGGTGGGTTTGGGATGTCTCCTGAAGGAGGCTCCACACCCTCCCTGGGCTCTGCCATGTCAGGGCTCTGCTCCTTCCTCTGTCATGGAAAGAGGTTCTTCCTCATGTTAAGGTGGAACTTGTTGTGTTTTATTTTCTGGGCACTGCTCCTCATCCTGTCACTGAACAGAGTCTGGCACCATCCTCTTGACACCTCTGCGAGGGATTCGTATGGATTGATGGGATCCCTTCTCCAGACTGACCAGCTCCTGCAGTCTCTCCTCATCAAAGAGATAGGAACACATATTTATACGTATTTTTGGTGCTCATTTGGGAGGGCTATAGGAGGGGAACTGCTCTTTGACACCCACTGAAGGGTCAGGGCCGAGCCCCTCACACTCTCGGGGGGATCATGGCAGAGTCCCTCTCACACTCTCGGGGGATCATGGCAGAGTCCCCTCACACTCTCAGGGGGGATCATGGCAGAGCCACTCACACCCTCAGGGGGGATCATGGCAGAGCCACTCACACTCTCAGGGGGAATCATGGCAGAGCCTCTCACATCCTCAGGGGGGATCATGGCAGAGTTCCCCCACACTCTCAGGGGGGATCATGGCAGAGTCCCCTCACACCCTCGGGGGGATCATGGCCGATCCCCCTCACACAGGGGAAGCAGAGGGAGACCCCATTCAGCCTCCCACTGTGTGGGTGAGCACAGCTCCACCACACCCCAAGGGCAATGTGAAGTAAAATCGAGGATGCACAGATCGGATGTTCTCCTCACACACGACATTTAAAGACAGAGTTTGCTGCTGGTTTTTGGTAAAAACACACCAGGAATGGCATTTGGGCGCGTGCTAGGTCCCAGCCCCCTTACGCCGCCCGGGCGTGAATGGCGCCGCCCCGGCCCGTCCTGCACCGCGGCGCCATCATGGCGGCGCCCAGTGAGGGCCGCGCGGGTCGGGGCTACGAGCCCTTCCCGGGCACCGACAGCGGCTCCTTCTCCTTCGCCGTCCCGCAGGGTGAAGCGGAAGAGACACCCAAGAAGCCATGCCGAGCCTGCATGGATTTCAAGAGCTGGTTCCGCCACCAGAGGAAGCAGATGGGTCCGGGCACCGCGGTGAGGCGCGGCGGGAGCTCTCCCTGGGGCCCCTGGCGACTCCCAGTCCCTGCAGCGCTCCTTCCGTCCTCCATCCTGCGCCCGCAAGTGGGACGAGGCTGGGTGTTCCCTTCAGGGTGTGAAGGAACCGGGGACAGGGCTCCCTTTAGTGGGAATGGGAAGGGAGTCCCCATCTTCTCCCTGGGGGTGAGGGGCGCTGCCATTGCCCCCGCTGAGGGTGTGAGGGGGCTCTGCCATGTTCCGTGAGGGTGTGAAAGGGTCCTTGCCTTGTCCCCTCAGAAGGTGTGAGGGAGACTTTGCCATGTCCCTCAGAAGGTGTGAGGGGGCTCTGCCATGTCCTCAGAAATTATGTGAAGGACCTGTTTCACCAGCTCACCTTCCCACCCAGCACAAAAGGGCTGTTTCCCCACCCACCCCGGTGTCCCCTCACACCCCTCTGTCCCCTGCAGGAGGCGAAAGAGCCCCCTCGGGACTGTCCCCTGGACATCGAGCAGCTGGGCCGCAGCACCTGGGCCTTCCTGCACACCATGGCTGCCTACTACCCTGACCGGCCCACCGGGACACAGCAGAAGGAGATGAGGGACTTCATCAACCTCTTCTCCAAGTTCTACCCCTGCAAGCACTGCGCAGAGGACCTGAGGGAGAGGTGAGTGGGAAAACCCTCAGAGGATTTTTTCAGGATCTGGGGAAAGGTGAGTTTTCTCAGTGGGTTTTTTGAGGCTCTGAAGGACAGGTGAGTGGCCTCAGCAGGTTTTCTGAAGATCTGAGAAAAGGTGAGTTTCCTCAGTAGGTTTTTTTGAAGATCTGAGGGAAAGGTGAGTTTTCTCAGTAGGTTTTTTTGAAGATCTGAGGGAAAGGTGAGTTTCCTCAGTGGGTTTTTTGAAGATCTGAGGGAAAGGTAAGTAGCCTCAGCATCTCATTGTGCTGGAGGGGCTTGCCAGAAGTGCTGGGCTGCAGCAGATAGTTTGCATATCAGCAGCTCTTCCTGCTCTTGGGGATTGTAGCTACCTGAACTGGGTTCTTCCATTATTGCATCAATCACAGATGCACTTACTCAAAAAACAAACACCTGTCCTCACGCTGTTGGATTCTGTGCTGCCTCCAAGGCTTCCCTGAGGCGATTTTGGAGTTTTCTGATTCAAAATGGGCTTGTGAACAGTTATAGAATTAGACTGGGATAATTTTCAGGAGACAAGTGTTCTTCTACCCTCTAAAATGCCCTGTATTGGCAATCTGAGTAGTGGAGGCAAGGACCGAAATGGGCTGAGGTGTTTTATTGGGTTTGGGATGAGATGATCTTTAAAGTCCATTCCAACCCAAACCATTCTGGGATTCTGTGGTAAGGTTTTCTGCTGCTCTCAGCCTCTTTCTCAGAAGTTTCCACTGATTTGTTTCCCATTCCCCGTTTGCAGATTACGGACGAACCAACCCGACACGAGCACCAGGAGAAACTTCTCCCGGTGGCTGTGTCTGCTCCACAACGAGGTGAACAGGAAGCTGGGCAAGTCGGAATTCGACTGCTCCCGTGTGGATGAGCGCTGGAGGGATGGCTGGAAGGATGGCAGCTGTGATTAACCCGCAGGGACTGCTCTGGGAATCCAGCAGAGCAGTGCAGTCCCTGTGGGGTTGCTGCAGGGACAGAGGGAGTCAATAACTCTGTTTGTGTGGGACTGATTCAGAGCTGATCCAATGCCAAAAGGAGAATTGAAGATCCTAGCCCAATGATATTTTGATAAGTAATGGTACCCGAGGTGTTGAGGCTGCCAGAAACCTCTGAGATTGGGTGACTGACAAACTCATTTCATGACGACATTTCCTGATTTTGGGGGCATTTGCTTATTTCTGTAGCTAGAGTTAATTTTCCCTGAATGCAGTGATGTTCTCCAAGGCATTGCCTGATGTTTTAGAAAATACATCTGATTAATTGTCACTTTAATTTCAGTTGTTCTGATAGAGAAAACTCATGCTGGGTTTTGTGCCAAGTCTGTTCCCCTGGATTTCTCTTTCCAGCATCTCCAACATTTGTTGTTACTCTTGTGTCCAGTTCCTTTGGTAAAAGTCCTGAGGGCAAGTGCGTTTAATTTAAACACTAAAACATGGAGCCCAGATTTCTCAATTTGGTTTTGTATTTCAACTGAACATGTCAGAGGACACAACAGAGTCACAATAATTTCAAGTTCTTCACGTTATTGACGATCTCATCCCTTCCTGCACTCCTGCCTGGGAGAGGTTTGCACAAACCCTGACAGCAACAGGTTTTTTTTTTCCTTCCCTGCTTCCTGCTAAGGTTTTCTTGTCTGTTTTATTGAGCTTCCTTATCTCGTGCCCTACAGCACACCTGTGAATTTACCCTTGGAGTTTTTGGCAAGTTTTGACTGGAAAGGCTCACGGTGCTGCTGAGACTAGAGCAGAGGCACCTCTTATCTGAACCTTGGTCCTCACACCACTCTGTGGGCTCCTTAGTGGTTAGAGAACCAGGAACACCTCTGGAAACACATTTTAGTATTTTGTGGCACAGTCAAGGCCTTTCAAGTCAGATCTGTTAAATTAATGTGAGACTTTTATGGACTAATGATTTCTGAAACTTCTGCGTCGTAACATTTCTAAACACAAACCCAAATGAACTGATAACAAGACACTGCATGAAGAGTGTGATTGAAGGTGTCACTCAGGCTGTTAAAAGTGCTCAGAAAATTTCCCTACCAGCATGTTGAGGTTCTTAGAACAAATAAACCTCAGCTCTTGGGTTTTGTGTTTGGTAATAAACTCAGTCCCCAAAACAAAGCCTGTTGAGATCCACTACAGGGGAGAGGACCAACAAAAGGGCAGCCCTCCCTTTTTGCAGGTAGGACCCCTCTGACTCAGTTCTGTCAGGACACTTTTAGCAGAGGGAGGTGTGGGCAGGCATCTCCCTGTGGGTTTGGTTGTGCTGAGGCAGGAATTCTGTGTTCCTCCTTTCCAATCTGCCCTCCACTGTGGTGTGTGACAGTGTCCTCGCCCACGGAGCAGATGAGGAGATTTCTCCCTCGTTTGTTTCAGTGTAAACAAGTGAAACACCTGCCCGTCCTTTGTCACCTCCATCTGCCAGGGGCCCAGGCTGGGGAGTTGCACTGCCCTGGGCCAGCAGGGACACGGAGCCTCCCAGCGCTCCTGTCCACTCCCTGAGTGGTGAGAGGAAAATGAGGGTGTACCCAACACCTTCTGGTCACTTTGTGTCCTTCAGGGAGCTGCTGGTGCAGTGCAGGAGGAAAAGCTCTCCTGTCCTGGCAGAGCTTGGGAACAGCCTTCAAGCTGAGTCTGTGTCTTTAGCAAATCCTGCCCAAAAATGAGGCCACCAGCTGTAGCTAGGATGCTTTTAGGGCAGTTTCTATCTTTACCAAGTGGCCATTTGATAAAATCTCTGCTTGCACTTTGTTCTCTCATTGTTTTGGCTTGGCAGAAGAGCTCTGATGTAGTTGTTTCTCAGGCATATCCTCACCTCTGTGGCCTTGACCATGTGAGGATTGGGGGAATTTGTTCTGCTGCTTGTTTGTACCACAAGTTTTAGTCTTGGGTAAGGAATTTCCTTTGGAGGTCCTCATACTCGTGTACAGAAAATTGTGACTTCTTTGCTAATTGCACTTGATTAAATCTAGTTTTAAAACATCTCTGTATTCAAATTGTATTTCCTGTTGATGTAAAAATAATAAAGCAACTGAGTTCACTCCTGGCTCGCTCCTGCTGCATGGGATCTTAGGAAAAGGGGTCATGCTGAGCTGGTGGGTCCAACCTCTGCATGCCAAGGTACTACTGTTATATATACAAAACAAGATATAGATATAAATATAATTATATATGTGTATATTATAGTTTGGTGGCTCAGGTAAATTGTGTGATTCTGTGTGGATTGATCAGACAAGCTGGGGCTGCTCCTGGTCCTTCCCTCTTGTGCTGTTGAATTGATGCAGTTCTCTGTTGGCCCTACAAAAATGCAGGAATTTGACAGGAATTCTGTCAGGTCAGAATTTGCTTTTATATGGGGAACAGTGGGAATTCTGTGGGATGCCAGTGATTTTTTTGACCTGCTGACAGCATGAGGGGCAGCATTAGAGTTGGGAGTAGCTCAGCTCTTGCTGGTTTGGAGCAGGGTGGCATCCCTGAGGGGCAGGGTTGGCAATCCCATTGCCTGGAATGGGGAAGCTGCTTGCTCTCCATGTGAGGAGCCCTTGTGAGGAAGAACGGAGTCAGCAGCTGCCTGAGGGGCGTATGGGACCGTGCTTGAGAGCTGCTGCTGTGTGACAGGAGCCTGACCAACCCTGCAGCTTCCCAAACTGCTCTGTTTTCATGGCCTGGTTTGCATTCAAACCGTGCTTCACTTTTTTGCCTTTTTTTTTTTATTTTTTTTTTATTCCCTCCCCAAAAGCAAAGAGCAGGGAGCCCTGGGGGAATCATCTGTTCCATGGACGGCAGGCAGGCTTGCAGATGCTGGCAGAAGCAGCCCTGTGCCTTTGACATTTTTCCAGGGATTAGCTGTTCCTTTGCAGTGCGTCGGGCGTACGCAGGCTCCTGTTTACAGAAGGATTCCCAAGAGTTGCTTTGTTTTCTCGTGTCTTCTGCTTCAGTCTGTTCCAGGCAGTGTGGGAGATCCTTCCTGTTGGAGTTTTACAGGCTTGGAGAGGGAAGGCTTTGGATTTTTTAGGATTTTCTTTCCTTTCCTTCTAAGCCCTGATTTTGTTGGGGTTTTATTCCATTCCTGGAATGGCTGCTCAGGGTTTTTGTTTGAAGGATGGAGAGGAGCTGTCCAGTATTATTTGAAGCCAGGATTAAGCACAGCCAACAAGGTGATGTCAAGTCAACTCTTCATTTTGCAGGGTAATGGGAAAAGTAATAAAACATGGAAAGCAAACCACAGGTAATGGCACGGAGACAAATCAGTTAAATTGTAATCCAAGGGGGTGAGGGTCAGCCTTGGGGCCGGCTGGGGCACTGCTCTGGGTCAGTCCCACAGGGAAGTGTTGATGAGCACCAGACCCTGGTTCCAGGCTGGCCAGCCCTCAGTTCAGGCGTTAATCACAGTGCAGGGAGCTGAGGGGTGATGCTAGTTGGCATCTTCTGCAAAACTGTGAGCAAAGGCTGTTAGCTGAGGATAAATGGGGTTTGTACCCTCCTCTGTGCTGATGCATGTAAAATAACCCCCAACCCAGATGGAGGTGATTTTTTCTGTCATTTCTGATTATTTGTAACTGCTGTTAGTATTTCCACAAGTAGAATCACAGAATATCCTCAGCCAGAAGGGACCCACAGGGACCATCCACACCAGCCTTTGCCGAGCTGTGTTCCCCTTGGCATGCGACAGTCCTGCTGAGGGGCGGCTGATCCAGCCCCGAAAGTTCTGCTGGCATTTCTCTGGGCTCAGCACCTGGCACGGGCTGGCACCCTGACGGGATCTCCCTGGCACTGGCACCTGCCCAGTTCTGCCCTTGCTTCCTATGGAAAGGTGCCCTCCCCTCCCACGTGCCGTGCTAGTGCAGGCTGATGCTTTTCCTCCCGAGCACTCCAAATCCAAAAGCCCCGTCCTGGTCCCGGTTTTCCCTCCCGGTCCCAGTTTTCCCTCCCATCCAGCACATCCCGTGATTCTCCTTGGTTTTTGGCTGCAGTGTGCTTCCCTCCACATCTGACCAAGCCAACAGTAGAGGGCAACAGAGGATGTATTGCCAGGTATTTCCATGTATTGCCATGTTTTTCCTTGTATTGCCAGGTATCTCCTTGCACTTCCTTGCATTTCCTTGACTTTCCCACCTCTTACCCATCTCTGGAACAAGACTGCTCCAGATACCAAATGTTTTACCTCGTCCTAGTCCCTTTCCTGTGACTTTGGGAGGAGATTTTGGTGCCCTCAGTTACTTTTCAAACGAGTGTGCAAGCCTCTTGTATATTTACCAAAATGAGGGATGTGTTATTCCTCTGCCTGCAGCTAAAATCTGCACTTGGAAGCAGAATAAAGCACTGTTTCCAGTTAATTTAATGTCTGTCCCACCAGGCATTTAATGCAGCCCCTAAAACTTTCCATGTTTCCCAGAACACCAAGCTTTAGTTCTAAGCTCCAGTCCCACTGCTGGATGGAGATGTGCCCAGTGAATTCTGAGTATGGTCAGGCAAAGCTGGGCTTTCCCTGCTTTTTCCATCCAGGTGTGCATAAAAAATAAAAAAAGAAAGTGGATTCTGTGACTGTGCCTCATGTTCTGCTGCTTAGATGGTGTGAAAGATATACAAGGAATAAAAGACAATGCCCTTGTGGCCAGAGCACGTGGCCTGGAGGCTCTAGAGATCAAAACTCAGTTCTTTTTTAGTCATAAGCTTCTTGCTAGACACCAGGTAAGTCACTTCCTCTTCTGCAGCTCCACTTTCATTTCTGCATAAGGGGGTAAAAATAGCTGTTAGGGCAGCCTTTGCCTGTATTTCCTGTTTATGAAAATCTCTTTCAGAGAGGGTGCTTTAATGGGTTTGTGCTGCACAAGCCTGGGCCTGAGAGCGTTCACACTTATAAAATCCCTCATCTCCATCCATCCCACAAATCTCTTTTCCATCAGGTTGCATCCTGCTCGTGAATCTGAGGACCTGTTGGGGTTGTGTTCAGTTAAACAAAGCTTTTCTTATTTTCAGTGTATTTTGGCAGCAAAGCTCGATGTAGCCGCGGATGCTCTTCACGCCCACTATGGCTTGAGCTGCCCCATGCCCTTGTGTACCTGTCAGCTCTGCTCACCTGTGCACAGCTGCAGGTGACAGGCACCAATGTCAGCTGTTGGTTGGCACGTCCCAGCATGGTGTGCTCCTAGGGAGGCCAGTTTGGGACAGCAAAGACCTTGTTCCCTTTTTTCAAGGGGAAAATGGGGGAGCAGGTGACTGCCCCCAAGGTGGGCAGCAGTGGCTGAATCAGATTAGATTCGGGTTTGCCAAAAGCCCCGAAATTTTTATGCTGGGGGAGCAGAGGCTGAGTTCCCTCCTGAGCTGCCGAGGCCACGGCTGCACCCCTGAGAGGAGTTTTGAAACCCTTTGGTTTCAGTTTGGGTTTTACGCAAGCACTGAGACACCAATCCCCTGTTCAAAGCCAGTGCTGCCTCAGCTCACTGAGCTCTGTTATCCCAACCTTCCCTCGGTGATTTCAGTCAGCAAAGTTTTCCACAGGTTTTTCTGGCACTCTTGTCCTGGGTTTATCCACGTACAGTAAGTGCTGAATCCCACCTGAGAAATGTTTCACAAGCAGATGAGTAATCAGCTAATGGATGATCTTCCAGATATTTTTAGTGTGGAAAGCATGAAGAGCTTTCTATGACAGTGGGCTAAGGTACTGCTCATCAGGAGCCCATTCTCCCTGCCCCTGGGCCCTATGGGCTTCTGAGCTCTCCTCAATATTCCCATCAACTCATTTTCATTTTCTCATTTGATGGCCGAAAGCAGCATCAGCCAAGCTCTAATGAAGGGCAAGAAAAGCATTTCAGAGCAACAACTAAGCATCTCTCAAAGTGCTGCTGCGAGCCTGCTGCCCGGGGAATGTGAAGGACAAGCTGTTTTCCCACCCACGCCCGTGCCAGGGCCGGCTCAGACCACGGGGAGCTGCTGGAATCCGTGTCCAGAGCCTGCCCAGCTGCCTTGTCCAGGCTCTGCAGCCAGGCTGTGTCCTGCACGCTGGGATTGCTCACTCCAAACACACTCTGGGGCAGCTGCTCCCAGAGCAAGGCGGTTTCACCTTGCTTTGCCCACCTGGAGCACTCTGTCCAGCTCTGGGACCCCACACACCAGGAAAACGTGGATCTGTTGGGGTCACTGCTCCCAGGGCTGGAGCCGCTCTGCGCTGGAGCCAGGCTGGGAGGGTTGGGGGTCTCCGGCCTGGAGAAGAGAAGGCTCCAAGGTCTCATTGGAGCCCCTCCCAGGGTACCCTACAGGGTATTGGGCTCATTGGAACAGGTTTTGAAGAAGGAGAAAACTCCACATCTTGTCTCCTCCAGGTTGTCATGTCCACATACTTAGCCCTGAGAAAACCTGATGTGTTTTTTTGTGATAGAGACAAAGGTAAGAAGTTGGGTTGACCAGAAGAAGCAGAAAGCAAATAGAGGTTTTCCACAACTTTTAATTAAACTTATGTAAAACAAAGACATGGGCAGCTCTTGGGCAGCCGTCTGCATGCTGCTCTGTTTGCTTCCTGTCCTTGTTCCCTGTCCCTGAAATCCAGTGGGAATGGTAAATAGAGACAAAACTTGTTCAAATCAAACAAACGCTCTGGGAAGGGCCATTTCCAAACACTGCTGTTCTCCCTTTGGTGGGGAAAATGTGGAAGTTGCAATATCCTTCCCCATTATTGGCTGCCTCTGTCTATCTGTTGATCTGCAGCAATAGGAAGCGAGGCAGAAAGACAGTTTGTATGTGGGCTGGAGATAGCTCCTGTGCTCTGTCTGAGCTGGAGCAGGGGGAGAAAACTGGCACCCCACGATGTGGGCAAGGGTTGTTTAAACCCTGCACGCTGCAGAAGTTGGGGGATGAACCCCAAAGAAAGGATGAGTTTAGGAGCAGAGATTTCAGTGCACCACGGTCATGCCTGGAAGGGTATAAAGCCCATACCAGTCTGGAAATGGTCATGATTTGTTCTAGGGTAACATCTCAAGGATTCAGGCAGTGTCCTTCTCCCTTGTGCTTTGCATTGTCCAAAAATTCCAGCTGGGACAGATGAGCTGGGCAAGACAGGTTAGGAAGAGAAAGAAGTGGTTTTCCCAACATCATCAGAAAATCAGGAGCAGAAATCAGAAGTCCAGCTGATTCCCTGTGCAGCATCTCTGGGACACTCTGCTTCCCTGGCACTGGCCACCCTGGAGGAGCAGGGCAGCCTGTGCCATCCCAGGAACTCTGGGCTGGTGGGCTTGGGATGGTTTGTGCCCAAAGCATGAAAAGGATTTCTGAGGATGCTGAAACAGCTGCTTCTAAACTGCTGAGACTGACTGAAAACCCCACCTCGGGTAATCCCTTCAAGTTAATTTGGTCTTTGCTCCTGCCCTGCAATTCAGGGATGAGCTGGCAGTGATGCTTTGGCACTGGGCTCCCATCCCTGGCCAGCTCCACGAGCCATCCTGCCAGCACAAAGCAGGAGGGACCAACCTGTCATTTTCTTCATGGCCATTGTGGTTTTGCCCAGAAAAATGTGCCGGTTCCTGAGCTGGTGACATTGAGGAATGAAGGCCTGAATTCTGCTTTTCCTGCTGCGCGTCAGAAATAGACCTGGAGAGATGATGACTCACCTGTAATTGAGAAAAACTGCGTGGCACCATTATGAGCTTCAACAGTTAAACCCTGATCCCAACCTGCCAGAGAGAGCACACTGACAAAGCAGCAAAAGGCCAGGAGGGGCTGGGGACAGGATCCAGCACCTGGGAATCCTTGGCTCTGTGGCTGCATTCTGTGTGAGGGGTGTGACACACCTGCCCCACAGGTACCCCGTGTGCTGTGGCTGTGACAGGGTCCCTGCCGGGGCAATGGGGCTGCAGAGGGGCAGGGAAGGTGTGTGGGGGCAGGAGAAGCCCCCAGAGCCCCCAGCCCCAGAGCCCGGTGCCAGCAGGGCGGGCTGGCTCCTCCCGGCTGCGCCTTTCCCGTCCGGAGCAGGGATGATGTCAGGGTTGTCATGGCATCGGTATCTATGGAACCGGGATCAGCATCGCTCAAAACCAGCTCGGGACACGGGCCTGGAGCCGCGGGGGGAACTCCCAACATCCGCACTCATCGGGGGTTTCCCTCTGAGCTGCTTCCTTTTCCTCCTTGCTGCTGCCCATGGGAGGGAGCAGGGATGGGGCTTGGCCTCCTCCCGTCCCAGGGCAGCTCTGGGCGGCTCCTTCTGTGCGTGAGCAAAGCGAGGTCAGCCCCGTCCATTTTCGCTTCCCTTTTCTTGCAGCAGCTCTGGATGTGCAACAGCAAAGAGCAAAACCAGCCAAACCTCGCCCTCTGCTCTCAGTGAGTGCCAGGTCTGAGAGCCCTCCCGACTGCAGGGGGGACCCTCTGGGGGTCCCCACAGGTGACAGCCACCCTTTCTGGGGGTCTGGGCACAGAAGGGGTGTTTATTTTAGGGTCAGTGCCCACAGCAGAGGTGAGCTGAGCAGCATGGTGACCTGCCTGTGCTCCAGGCCATGGCATCGCCCTCCTGCCAACAAAAAAGACTCACAGGGAGCCCTTGCCATTACCTGGTGACAGTGGCATGGCATGGGGACCCGTGCAAGGACACTCCACCTCTGCCCATGGCACGCTGTCCCCAGAGGCAGCACGGTGACCACAGGACAGTAATTCTTGGAACAGCACAGTGACCCCAGCAGTGGCAAGGTGTCCTGGCTGCTCTGTGGTGTCCCCAGCCATGGCACAGTGACACGGCCTCAGCATGGTGACCATGGCCACAGCACAGTGGTGCTGGCACAGCTGTGCTATGGTGGCAATGCCCTCAGCTGGGTGGCAGTGCCTGTCACAGCGTCACCTCTCCCGTGCCCACAGCTCAGTGACAGTGCCTATCCCACTGTCACAGTGTCCATGCCCACAGCTCGGTGACAGCGGCTGTCACAGTGTCACAGTGCCCACAGCTTGGTGGCAGTGCCTGTCACAGTGTCACAGTGCCCAGAGCCCCATCCTGGTGACAGTGGCTGTCACAGTGTCACCTCTCCCGTGCCCACAGCTCAGTGACAGTGCCTGTCCCACTGTCACAGCGCCTGGAGCCCCATCTCAGTGACAGTGCCTGTCTCACTGTCACAGTGCCCGCAGCCCCATCCCGGTGTCGGGGGCTCAGCTCGGGCTCTCAGCGCCGGGAGCGCGCCCCGCGCCGGCCGCGCGCACCTGCCCGTGCCCACCACCCCCTGTCCCCCCCCCTCACCCCACGGGTGGTTCCTCCCGCCGCCCGCACGCGGCGCTGCGGACGAGCCCACGAGGGAGGGGCGCGGGGGGGGCGGGCGGCGCGCGGCCGGCGCGGGGCGCGCGCGGCGGGGCTCGGCTGGGCGCGGAGCGGGGGAAGATGGAAGGAGCGTCCTTCGGAGCGGGCCGGGCGGGGGCGGCCATCGACCCCGTGGATTTCCTCAAGCAGCCGCAGACCCTGCTCCGGGTCACCACCTGGGTAAGGCCGAACGGCCGCGGGAGCGCGGGGATGGGCAGCGGCGGTGCGGGGACAGCGCCCGGTGCGGGGACAGCGCCCGGTGCGGCGGGCAGTGCCCGGGTGATGGCAGTGCCCGGGTGATGGCAGTGCCTGGGTGATGGCAGTCTCCGGGTGATGGGCACTGCCGGGGCCATGGGCAGCTCAGGTGCATCGCAGCCGGTGCATCGTTCCCGGTGCTTGGTGCGGCGCCGGTGCTGGTGCCGCTGCCAGTGCTCGGTAAGCTGCCGGTGCCGGTGCGGTGGGCGCTGCCGGTGCCGGTTCTTGGTGCGCTGCCGGTGCTCGGTGCGCTCCCGGTGCCGCTCCCGGTGCCGCTCCCGGTGCCGCTCCCGGTGCCGGTGCCGGTGCGCGGGCGCTGCCCAGCCCCGCGGGCAGGGAGTTTCCCCGGGAACGGGGCCGGGATGCGCCGCTACCCCGCTCCCGTGCGGTGCCGGAGGATGCGGCGCGGAGCCGCAGGCAGAGGACATTTTCCTGCCTTCCACGCTCCGTGCATGCGTGTGTGTGACAGAAATCCGGGAGCCAGCCCTGCCCAGCTCTCCCGTGCTGCCCAGAGGATGTCGTGTTTGTTGGACGTTCCCATCTGCGAATTCCCAGTGTGAGCAGGAGATGGAATGGGCAGTGCAGGGCTCAGGGAAGGCTGTGGTGCTCCGTGCCCAGGGTGCCCCTGGGGCCGTGGTGCCCCGATGCCCAGGGCTCAGCTCAGCCCCTGATTTGCCTCCCCCAGCCTGGCTTTTGCTGACATCTGCAGGTGTGCAGGGCCTTGGCAGGTCGGGAATGCCAGGTCCTTCCCAAAAACCCCGCTGTGGGAAGGATCTGCCATCTGCCCAGCTCTCACCTGGCTCCAGCGCTTGGCTGGGGGCTGTGGCTGAGCCTGGGGCTCGTCCTCGCCCATGTCACACCTGTGCTGGCCCTGTGTCACCGTGTCAGCGAGACAGGGGGCTCACCAAGCCGTGCTGCGAGGTGCAGCCATCCCCAGCTGCCCTCCTGCCAGCGGGCACAGCCCTGGCACCGAGGGGCTCTCTGGCCTGGGCTGCCCTGGGAGAGGCCCCAGCAGCAGCACATGAGCGATTCCAGCTGCAGTCACATGCTCAGAGTCAAACCACACGCTGCAGTGTGAGCCTGATGGGAGCTGCTGTCCTTCCCAGGCCTTGGAGGAGGCCCACAGCTCCATTGATGGGGAAAACGGGGCCAGGGATGGATCTGGGGCATCCAGATCCATGGATGTGTGTGGATCTTGGTGTGGATTTTGGGGCGTTTTGGGCAGGGTTGAGGCGCAGGGCAGCAGTTGTTTCCTAGAAGAAAACTTGGTCTGGATCCTCCTTGCTGGCAGTGCTGTAGGGTTTGGGTACAGTTCAATCAACCTGGTGAGTTCAGCCCCTCCTAAAATCCTAAAATAAATGTGTCACCCTGCATCCAGAGGGCTCCCCGTCCTTGTTGGATGGAGGGGGTTGGACACTGCTGGGGAGCAGGACCAGAGTATGGAATGTAGGTACAAAATAAAAATCCCAGCTTAGGAGATGTTCTTGTATATACTCAGTGGTTTATTCAGGGGTGAAGGGCTGAATCCATCACCTCTTTCCTGGCTCTGTGCTCCCAGGATTCAGTGGCAAACGAGTGCTCACAGCCACAGAAATGCACCAGCTTAACTCCAAACAGGTGCAGGGCCAGCAGTGTGCACAAACTGGGATGAGCATACTGCTCATAAGTGTTTGCAGCATTCAGACTTGGCCAAAGCCCACGGAGCAAAAAGGGAGTTTTTGCCCTTTTCAGTGGGCTGGGGGAGGGTTTATCAGGGTCAGGGTTTATCCAGCCTGAGGGTTCAGAGCCCAGTTTGGTGTCCCAGCCCAGTTCCCCGTGTGTAAAACCAGTTCAGCATCTGTGATCCTGCCCAGTGTGAGCTGGGGCTGCACTCTCAGCACTGCCCTGCTGCTGCTGTGCCCTGTGCCCTGTGCCAGCCCAAACCCGTGCCAGCACAGAGAAATTGGGTGGGAGAGACACCCAAAGCTTTGCTGGGGTCCCTGCTGCCTTCCTGCCGCTGTCCTGGGCGGGTGGCAGTGCTGTGGCACGTGGTGACACCGTGCTGGTGGCAGGGCAGGAGCTGGAGCCGATGCCCAGGTGCCATCCCTGATTGCCAGACCTTGCCAGGGCTCCCTGCCTGCCCTCCCAGGGGGATGAGCTGCACGAAGCAGCCACGGTGGGTGTTTGCTGGGCTGAGAGCAGCTTTGGGCTGGGATTTCTCACGTGGTTTTCCTTCCTGTGCCTCGGTGATGCAGCTCAGTGCCCTGGTTACCCTGAGCAGCAGGATCCCGCAGCTGGATCCCACAGCTGGATCCCACAGCAGGATCCCACAGCAGGATCCCACAGCTGGATCCCACAGCCCTGCTCTGGGTGTGGGGTCAGCTCCTCCTGGGGAAGGAAGGGCTGCCAGCATGGGCTGGGTTGGGTGGGGGTGATGGAGAAACCCCACAGGATTGGGGCCAGCCCCAGTGCCCAAGGTGGGTGACCCCATCTGGTGTGGGTGACGGCCACTGCTGGGCCTTCCCACCACCAAAGGAAGGTCCAGTTCCCTTTTCTGGAGCTCCAGAGGCTGCCTGGGGCACCTTGTGCTGGCAGACATGTGAGGGGCTGGCAGGTGAACAGTGACCAGCACAGAAATCCCCAAATGTCAGCGGTGCCCAAAGGGGATTCCTGCTTCTGCCTCCCCCTGAGAGAGCAATTCTGAGTATCTGAGGGGGAAAAACACCACTCCTGCCTCGAGCTGCGAAATCAAAAGCTGGAAAGAACCATTTAACAGTTCCTCATTCATCTGTTCCCTCTCTGTCTGATGCAGTTTGTCAGATGAAGATGTGATCGCTCTTGTGGTTTCCTTTTGAGACATTTTCTGCACAGCCAAACAGAGTCGATATTCACAAGGGCTGCCTGCAGAACCACGAGCTCCTGTCTCTGTCCCTGCCCGTGCCAGCCAGCCTTTCAAGTGGCCACTCAGCTCCCCAGGGCAATTGTTCATTTAACACAGGCTTAGCTTTGCCTTTTAAAAGCAGTTTTGGAAAATATTTTCAGCAATAAACTTTTTTGGTGATTCCTGTGATTCCATGCAGGGCAGCGGGAGAAGCTCAGTGCTGGGTCCCAACAGTGCATCCTCATGCATCCCATTATCCCATCCCATCCCATCCCATCCCATTATCCCATCCCATCCCATCCCATCCCATCCCATCCCATCCCATTATCCCATCCCATCCCATTATCCCATTCCATGGATCCCAATATCCCATCCCATTGCATTATCCCATCCCATTATCCCATCCCATTATCCCATCCCATCCCATCCCATCCCATCCCAGCCTCCCAGGGGCTCAGCAGAGGTGCAGGGAATGGGCTCTGGATGGTTCCTCAGGGGTTTCACTGACTCCTGAGCTCTCAGGGCTCTCAGGGAAGAGCCCCAAGGCTGCCCTGGCACTCCAGGAGCCCCAGCAGTGCTCAGAGCCATTACCATGATCTGAGCAGCCTCAGACTCCAGTCCTGACCACTTTTCAGAAGGGTCATCAGATTTCTGCCTTAATTTTCTCTTTCTGCAGGCTGTGGATTAAAGGCAGAACTTAAACTCAACATTTTGGTAATGGAATTATGGGGGAGCTTTGCTGCATCTGAGCTTGGAATGGCTCTGAATTGTCATGCTCTGTCATCTCTGGTTTCAAGCCCTGCTGCTGTGCCGTGTGCTCAGATTGCAGGGCGAGATTGGGAGCCTTGAATGAGCGCCGTGTCTCAGCCAGCATCCCTTACCACATCAGAAAAAGTAATTCAGGAAAAATCAGTCATGTGGCCATCAACAGACATCCTCCCAAGCTGATTAGCCTGGTGAACGTGGCCCTAAACCCATTACAGGCAGCATCAGCCCTCTCTTGCTGTGCCAGCACCCACAGAGGCCTTCTCTTGGTGGCATCTCCATGGTGGGAGATCTGCAGGGCCTAAAGCTGAGCTTTGGTCTCACACCCCCAGAAATGGTGCAGATCAGTGCTGGAACCCCCCTGTGACTGAGAGCTGTGAGGATAAACTGCAGGGGGAGCAGGGACTGAGTGCCCCCTGTGCCAGGGGATCCGTGCCAGGGGATCTGATCTGTGCCAGGGGATCTGTGCCAGGCCCGTGCACCGCGCGGGGCTTACAGGGAATTAGGGAAACACCCGCTGCTAAGCAGGATTTGGCCTCTGCTAATTTGACCTGAATTGTTTTCCTTTTTTCATTTGGTGGTGCCTCCTTCCCTCTGGGATGGGCAGGGAGCTGAGCAGGAGGGGTTTGGGAGGGTGAGGGATCTCAGGAGGGGTTTGAGGGGCACTGAGGGATCTCAGGAGGGGTTTGGGAGTGTGAGAGATCTCAGGAGGGGTTTGAGGGGCACTGAGGGATCTCAGGAGGGGTTTGGGAGGGTGAGGGATCTCAGGAGGGGTTTGGGAGTGTGAGGGATCTCAGGAGGGGTTTGGGAGTGTGAGGGATCTCAGGAGGGGTTTGAGGGGCACTGAGGGATCTCCAGAGCTTGGCCTGGCTCTCTGCACCTGTGGGAGATGAGCTCTGGGCTGTTCTCCTCATGGATTCCATCTCCTCCATGCTGACAGGGATGTGTGTGTGTAACCAAAGCCGGGCTCTGCAGTCTCCTGCCACCCCACACCTTCTGCTGGTGATTTTTATAGGCCCCAAGTGCCAGAGCAGCTCGTGAGCAGTGGGAAATGCTCACCTTAAGATGGCTGACAGCTCACACCGGAGCTCCCAGCTCCTGCTCTCCTGTGCTGATGCTGCTTGCTTTCCTTGCCTGTCTCTGCTCAGGCTGAGGGATCTCTTGAAGCACATTTTAGGGGATGGGCTGCAGAAAGCTGAAAGCAACAGGGAGAAAACTGTTTGTGTGTGTGTGTTGAGGTGCAGGCTGCTGGAGCTTCAGGAGGGAAGGGGGATCTGCAGAGCACAACCCCAGGAGAAAGGCAGGCAGGCTGGGCAGCAGCATCCTCCAGATGGCAAAATGGGCTGGAGGGAGGGCAGGCACAGCTCCAGCTCCATCCACACTGAGAGGTGTCTGCCCCCGGGCACCCTGCGCTCCTGCCTGATGGATCCAGCAGAATCCTGGGATGGTTTGGGCTGGAAGGAGCCTTAAAACCCCTCCAGTGCCACCCCTGCCATGGCAGGGACACCTTCACTGTCCCAGGGTGCTCCAAGCCCTGCCCAGCCTGGCCTTGGGCAGTGCCAGGGATCCAGGGGCAGCCACAGCTGCTCTGGGCACCTGTGCCAGGGCCTGCCCACCCTCTGAGCAGAGAGAGTGTCCCACTGTCCTGTCCCACTGTCCCACTGTCCTGTCCCATTGCCCTGTCCCACTGCCCTGTGTCACAGAAATGCTGCCTGGCCTGCAGAGCTGTCTCCTCTTGCTTGGAATCACACTTTTTAAACTTGCACCGGCTCAGCCAGGAAAAGCAGAATTTGCTGCTGGTGGAGTTGGGTTGTTCAGCTGGAAAATGAAATGTCCTGTGAAGGCAAATCCTCTGAGATGCTGCTCAGGCCACCAAGCCTCGCTCACGGTGGAAAATCTGACCCTGTGTTTTCCCTTTCTGTCTCTGATGAGCTGCTTGGGGCTCTGAGCCGCTGTGGTTTGTGAAGGTGATGGGGAAATGCACTTGTTCTGTGGGAGCTTCAGAAAAAACACAGGGGGTTTATTTCCCTGCCCACATTTATTTCATCCACCCACGTTTTCCTAAAATAAAAGCACTTTTTCATCCAAACTTAGAAAGACACCACCAAATTTATTCTCATTAAAACGTTTCACCAGCACCAGTGGGTTTTTAAAGAAAAACCATAACATTACAATCCTGGGGTGAGGGAGAGGTAACCCGTGGCAAGGCACGTTGTGACAGGAATATTCCAGGCAGTGCTGGTGGTTTGAGCTCCTCTATCAAATGTGTGCACTTGGAATTCGTGGCTCCTTTGGCCTCCCAAGGAAAAGCTGCCTGTGCTGTGTTTTGTACATTAGAATGTGCTTGTGTCTCATGGTTTGAGCCACTTGGTTTGTCTGGAGCAGGAAGGATGCTCTGCTTTCCAAAACCCTTTGGAACTGGAAATTAAGTGATAAAATATCATTTAAAATAAAAAAAAAATCAACATTGATAGCCCCAGGTGTTAGCAAAGCTGGTGCAGGGACCCCACACCTGTGCTGGGACATCCTGAATTGTGTTTATGGGATATTTATGGGAGCTCCCCCTCCTCACAGGGCTCTGGGCTGCAGCAGGTCCCACAAGCCTGGAGCAGGCTGATAATCCTGGGGGGATGAGTGGAACCTCTCCGAGCAGCTGAGTTCAGGTTTGCTGCCCTGCCCGAGCAGTGATGGTGTGGAATCAGAGCTCCTCAATTATTCATGTTTTCCAGAATCACATTGCTCCTTCCCAGGGCCTGCTCCATCCATGCTGCTGCTATTTCTGATGGTAAATAACAATTCTGCATTATTTATGAGCAGATTTTTACAACTGCTGATGTTACAGCTGCTGCCAAAGCCCTGGGAAAACGATTAAGGCTGTTTGTTGTTGTTTGTGCCTTACACACGGCCCCTCCTGGGTGAGGATGAGGAGGGTGGGGATGGTGGTGATGGGGAGGATGAGGATGGTGGGGATGAAGGTGGTGATAATGATGGTGATGATTATGATGAGGGTGATGATGATGATAATGATGGTCATGATGATGGGGATGATGATGGTGATAAGGATACTGATGGGGATGGTGGTGGTGATGATGATGGTGATGATGATGAGGATACTGATGGGGATGAGGATGGTGATGGTATGATGGTGATGATGGTGAGGATACTGATGGGGATGATGATGATGGTGATGATGATGAAGATGGTGGTGAAGATGGAGATGGTGATGATGAGGATGATGGTGGTGATGATGGTGATGATGAGGATGGTGATGAGGATACTGATGGGGATGAAGATGGTGATGATGATGATATGATGATGATGCTGCCATATTTTTAATAAATCACCAAGTGCTCCCCAAGCACAGCACCAGGAGGAACAGGGTGCAGGTGCCACAGGGTGACATGGGTGGCCCCTGAGGTGCCTCAGGGTGACATGGGTGACCTCTGAGCTCATGGCTGGAGCTCAGGGCTGACCTGGGCTAGGGATGGCTGTGGGACAGGCCCCAGGCTGTGGCTGGACTCCCAGAGGAGGAAGAGGAGCAGATCTGTCCCAGTGTTATGTTAGAGGGTGGTTGGACCTTGGGGCTGGTTTTCCCACTGTGGGCTCTGCTCCATTTCTCCTGCTCTGTGACACGGCTGCCCTGGGAGCTGCAGGAGGTGACACAGGTGACTGTGAGAGCCACCAGCTGGGCTTCACACAGTGTCACCTGTGTGACACTGGTGCTGGTCGTGCTGTCCCTGCAGGGACAGCCTCTTATCTCTGCCCTGCATGCCTGGGAGCAGCAGGGAGGCAGCAGCGCTGCTGGTGCTGGCAGGGATGAGATCAGAGGCTCCCAGTGCGAGGGAGATGTGCCACCTCCCCACACATGTCCCCTGTCCCCTCCAGCCCTTCCCTGGCTCAGCTGCTCAGCTGTCCCTGTCCCTGGGGACACCAGGGGCTTTGTGGGGCCCAGAGAGCAGCACAGCACAGAGTCCCTGCAGGGATGTGGGTGTCCTTTCCCTCCTCAGCCTGTCTGGAGAGGCAGGTCCTTACCCCACCGTGCCCAGCAGGGCATTGGAGGGCAGGAGGAGGTTCCAGGATGGAACACCCAGGTGCAGCCTGGAGCCACCAACCAGAGCAGAGCATGTGTCTGACAAACGCCACGTTTTGGGATGTGTGTGTCTGACAAATGCCACGTTGCCATGGAGTCAGGGCTGGGATTTGAGGATGGGATTGTCACTGCTGTTGGGGAGCAGGGTTCAGTGCCAGCAGCCAGCTGTGCTCTGTGCCTGCTCCTGCAGATCTTCTCCATCGTGGTGTTCGGCTCCATCGTCAACGAGTGCTACGTGAACAAGGACAGCCAGCACCCCGAGCTGCTCTGCATCTTCAACGAGAATGAGAGTGCCTGCAGCTACGGCATCGCCGTGGGCGTCATCGCCTTCTTCGGCTGCATCTTCTTCTTCGTGCTGGACCTGCACTTCCAGCAGATCAGCAGCGTCAAGGACCGCAAACGGGCTGTGCTGCTGGACCTGGGCTTCTCAGGTACCTGATCTGCCCTGCTTGGGTCTGCTCTGCTTGGGTCTGCCTTCCCTTCCCTTCCCTTCCCTTCCCTTCCCTTCCCTTCCCTTCCCTTCCCTTCCCTTCCCTTCCCTTCCCTTCCCTTCCCTTCCCTCCTCACTCCAAAGCTCATTTCCAAGGTGCTGGAGCCCCCAGCCCTTGCTAGATTAAATTTACAGCCCCTTCTGTGGGGTTTGGTGCCTGAAATCCTGGATTCCAGCAGAAGGGGGATGTTGGGATCTATAAAATTAGAGGGTTTTGAGAAAGAAATCTCCTCTCACCCTGGCAGCCTCTGCTCCCTGCCAGCCACGGGGCTGGCGCTGCTCCCAGACCCTGCCTCCTGTCCCCTTTGTCCTGGGGTGGATCCATGGGAGGAGAAAGGGGAGAACCAGCCTGGAATCCTGGAATCCTTGGAATCCTCAGATCCTGGAATGGTTTTTTGGGAGGGACATCAAAGCCCACCTTCAAAGGGACATTGGAAGGGACATTAGAGCTCCACTTTCCATTAGACCAGGATGCTCCAAAGCCAGTTAAACCCTTCCAATGTCCAACCCTCCCAGGGATCCAGGGGCAGCCAGAGCTGCTCTGGGCACCCTGTGCCTGTTCCACCCTCGCAGGGAAGAACTGGTTCCTGAAATGCATCTGGGCAGTGACTGGGAGGTGGCTCTGGGTGGCTCACAGCTCCAGGGCCACCACACTGAAAGCAGCATTTACAGCCTTCTCCTCCAGCTGCTGCTCCAGCTGTTCCCATGGACAGGGTGTGCAGGATTCCAGCCGTGATTAGGGTGGTAACACATCCCGGCTGTTTGCACTCCGTCTGCAGACCCCTAAATGCTCATTATCTCCTTAACTGATCATTATCTCCTTAATTGATCATTATCTCCCGCGGTGCTTCCTGGCCCTCCTTTCCCGGGGTGCTGCAGGCAGAGGAGCTGGGGCTGGCACGTTCAGCCTCACCCATCAGCGCTCTCAGAGGTTTCAGAGGGTTTCAAATTAGTGTCCAAGCATCACCCACACCTGGCTGCTGTTACTGGTTTATACTGGGAGGGGATTGGGGAGGACTGGGAGGGAGCTGGGAAAGGGTTAAAGGGGGGTTTGGGGTTACTGGTTTGTACTGGGAGGGAGTGGGAAAGGGTTAAAGGGTGGTTTGGGGTTACTGGTTTATACTGGGAGGGACTGGGGGCTCAAAATGGGTTGTACTGGCTGCTGTTCTGGAGGTGCTGGCCATGCCTGACCCATCCCTGCCCTGGCAGCGCCCCTGCTGCAGGTGCTGGGGCTCCGGCATGGGGAGGGAAGGTCGGTGCTGCAGAGGGATCGCTGTGGCAGCTGCAGTTCCCAGCGCAGCCGTGCTGGCTCCGGGCTGGGCATGATGTCATTTTAACCCCTGACAGCCCGGGGTGCCACTGGGGACACACGGTGGGCAGGGGAGCAGTGCCAGGGAGGACAAGCTGTGCTGGGTCCAGGGGTTCACACAGGAACAGCTTCCCCTCCACAAACCAGTGCCAGCCTCAGTGCCAGTCCCTTGTGCCAGCCCTCTGTCCCTGAGCCTGACTGGTGCCATCCCCATGTCCTTCATGCCAGCCCTGTGTCCCCAGCCTTGTCCCTGACTATAACCAGTGCCAGCCCCATGTCCCTTGTGCCACCCCTGTGTCCCCAACCTTGTCCCTGAGCCTAACCAGTGCCATCCCCATGTCCTTCATGCCATCCCCATGTCCCTTGTGCCAGCCCTCTGTCCCTGAGCCTAACCAGTGCCAGCCCCAGTGCCAGTCCCTTATTCCAGCCCTGTGCCCCAGTCTTGATCCTAAGCATAACCAGTGCCAGCCCCATGTCCCTTGTGCCATCCCCATGTCCCTTGTGCCATCCCCGTGTCCCAGCCCTGTCCCTGAGCCATCTCCTGTTGCTCCCACAGTGGGAATTATTAACCTTTGGGAGCTGCTCTTGTTTCACCTCTGGGGTTTTGACTCCCAAAGTTGCCCCAGTGTGATTCTGAGCAGTGGCTGAGGTACAAATGTAGGTTTGGGGCTGGTTCCCATTGCAGGGAGGAGCTGCTGGGGACAGAAAATATCCCTGGGTTAAAGGGTGACCTTTGAGGAGAAAATCCCAGCAAATCTCTGCCCTTTAGTGCTGGCAAGCAGGCACTGTGCTGAAGGGAAGTGAAAATGCTCATGCAGAGATTTGGGTGGCTTTGGTGACAGGCTTGGCTGCATTTGGTGAAGGTTCTGTCATTTGGAAAAGGAAACCAAACCTTCGCTTCCTGTGAAGGGAGGATTCCTTCCATGGCCAGAACTGGTGTTGGGAATTCCCAGGCCCAGCCATGCAGGAGGAGACAGGGAATGTGTCTGAAACTGCAATTAGGGGCAAATTCTGAATTAAAGCCTTGAGCCCTGCACCCCCAGCACTTGCTGTGGATGCTCCATTTTATGGCATATTAAGGGAAAACTGGCAAAATAAATGGTAATAAATGGGAATAAAGGGAGGTTTAAAGGAGGAATAAAGCCTGGCTGCTGACCCTGCTGTGCTGATGATCCCTGGGGGCTGCTGGGCAGCTCAGCACTCCCAACATCCACGTGTGCACTGACACCCAGAATCTGGGACATCAGCAATGACGGGGACCCTGAAAGCAGCACCATGGGAGGGTCCAGGTGCTGCAGAGCTGGAACACACCCCTGCTGCTGGCCCTGTGTGCTCCTGGCTCTTCCTTGAGCTGCTTGGCACTGGGCAGGGCTGGTGGCTGGGGATGGAATTAGGGCAGCTGCAGCCCTATCTTGCTCAGCCAGCTTTGCTTCCAGGCAGGAATAATCAAATAATCACCGGAGTGTTCCTGCTCAGCCCCACAGGCCCAGGGGGGTTCTCTGCAGGGATGAGCAGAGCTCTCACGTGTCCTGGAATCGCGGAATTGCAGAATGGTTTGGGTTGGGAGGGGCATTAAAATCCATCTCCTCCCTCCCCTGGCATGGCAGGGACACCTCCCACTGTCCCAGGGACACCTCCCACTGTCCCAGGGTGCTCCCAGCCCTGTCCAGCCTGGCCTTGGGCACTGCCAGGGATCCAGGGGCAGCCACAGCTGCTCTGGGCCTCCCCACACTCACAGGACAGAATCTCTCCTTCATATCCAATATAAATCCACCCTCCCTTGTCCTGTTATTCAGTGCCCTTGTGCAAAGTCCCTCTCCAATGCGTCCCGGGGGGATGTGCTGTCCTAGGAATTCTTTCTGATAAAGAAGAGCTAGCGGCAAATGTCACTCGAAATTCGTAAAAAACGAATATGTATGAACCTATTGTGAAATTGTATGCACGTGTATCTGAGAGGGGGATAAAAAGGGACCCGAAGTTCCCAAAGACCAAATTGTTCCCCACATGTCATTTTAGGGGAACGATTCCCACACGCGTCCAGCGCTGTGATAAACATCCCAGCTTTACAACTTTCACAAAAGTTGTAGAGTTTTGATTATCTCCACCAAGCACGTGTTCCCCCGCAGGTTTCCTGGCCTTCCTGTGGTTTGTGGCCTTTTGCTTCCTGGCCAACCAGTGGCAGAGGACGACGCTGACGCGCAGCTTCGCGCAGGGCGCGGACGCGGCGCGGGCGGCCATCACCTTCTCCTTCTTCTCCATCATCATCTGGGTGAGGGGCCGGGGGGGCCACAGCAGAAATGAAACCTGCCCGGGGTGCTGGGGCGGGCTGGCTTTGCAGAAGTGATCCCTGGTGGGTGCGGAGGGGCTGCGCTGGGGAGTCCGTGCGTGTGGAACTGGTGCTTTCCAGCCTGGGGAGCTCGGCTCGGTCTCCTCTGCCTGGGGAACCCCAGGCTTCCCTTTCTCCCGGGGCGGCGAGGTTTTGTTCCCGTTGAAAACGTGTGGCCAGGCACGAGCTGCCTTCATTTCAGGGCCTCCTTAGAGGCAGGGAGTCCCCAGGAGCAGATGTCTGCACTGAGCAGCTCCGTGGGTGCCTGGGGGATTTGGGAGCTCTCAGCTCCTCCTGGGCCACACCAGCCTGTCCACCTGGAGAAGGGGCTCAGGAACCCCCCTGATCCCATTTCCAGCTCCTCCTGGGCCACACCAGCCTGTCCACCTGGAGAAGGGGCTCAGGAACCCCCCTGATCCCATTTCCAGCTCCTCCTGGGCAGGGGGACTCCAGCCAGGGCTGTGAGAAGCTCACCTGGACCCCACATGCACCTCAGACAGAGCAATCCTAACTTTATACACATGACAACAAGCCCTTGACTGGCTGCTAATGCTTAGAGATATTTGGTGTTTATCATAGCTAGACCAATGAGAGCATCACTTAGGGGCTCACCAGCAGTCAAAAACCAACCTGAAATGCAGAACATAGGAAAATAGAATAAAGAAGAGACAACATCACAATGGCACCTCAATGCATGATGAGCACCATAATTCTGGTTCAATCACCTGGGATCCCTCTCAAAGACAAAGGGAAATCCCAGCATGTCTGGCATCTACCAGGAAAAATTGTAACAAACAAAGGTACCAAAGTCCTCAGGAATCTTATGTTCAAATGTTCAAAATATCCATAAACAATTTGGAAAGGGGCTGAACAGCAGTCTGGCAAAGATGAGGGTCAGCTGTGAGGAAACACCAAAGGATCTCATAGAAGTCACCACAGAGCAGGAAAATGGCAGGTGAATTTCCGCAGAGACGCGTGCACCGGGGGGATCCCAGCCCAGAGCTGCGTGTGCAGAGGCAGAGATGGCTCTGGGTTATCCCCAGCTTCCCCTGGGCACAGAGCCCCGGGATGTGCCCTAATTCCACATTGCCTCCAAAGAGCTGGGGCAAAGCCAGGGCGGGCTTTCCAGCACAAGCCTCGCTCCACTTCTCCCCAGTTTAGCTGCTCCCTGCTTTGTGATTATCCCAATAAATCTCCTCTAATCCCGGCTCTTCCCCGTCTCTGCCACGGATGCTCCCCATCCCATCAGCATCTGCTCCCACCCCGGAGGGCCGTGGGGACACCGCTGTCACCCTGCCCCATCCCGATGGTTGGGAAGCCATTCCTGGCCTCTATGGGGACACCGCTGTCACCCTGCCCCATCCCGATGGTTGGGAAGCCATTCCTGGCCTCTATGGGGACACCGCTGTCACCCTGCCCCATCCCGATGGTTGGGAAGCCATTCCCGGCCTCTACAGGCGTTTTCAGCCTCCTCAGAACGTCATTTACAAACTAATTGAGTTGTTAATGAGTCCTCCTGGAAGGAGAGAGCTCGGGGCCCTCCCGGCTTTGCCGCCCACATTTCCCAACCTCAATTCCAGCAACCTGGAAAGGGGTGAAGGAGCCTCGGCAGAACTGACCTATTTTCCTGGGCTGGCTCTCGGCAGCTCCCCCTCCCCACAGCAGATGTGTTTATTTGGGCCAGCTGTGCCAGATGTGCACGGCAGGGCCCCCCAGCCCGGGCAGAGCTCTGGGGGTCCCCCTGCCCCACAGAAACGGCTCTGGAGTGTTCCCGTGGGCTTTGGGGCTGGGGTGGCTCTGGGGTACAACAGGGTGGGGTGGCAGCATGTGGGGTGCTGCGTGGGCTCGGCGCTCTGCAGGGAATGGGGGGTGTGGGGTGATGGGGATGTGGGGTGATGGGAGGATTTGGGGTGATGGGGGATGTGGCATGATGGGGGGATGTGGGGTCTGAAGGGCTGTAGGGTCCTGGGGTGATGTGTGATGCTGGTGAGACACAGGATGCTGGGGGGACTTGGGGTCCTGGGAGTTTTGGGGACTCTGGGAGGACTTGGGGTCCTGGTGGGATGCGAGGTTTGGGGGATCCTGGGGGGACACGGGGTCCTGGGGTGTCCTGGGGGTCCCGGGGGTCGTGGGGTGTCCTGGGGTGTGTTCTAGGGTGCAGTGGGGTTGCAGCCCTGCCCCGTGTGACGCTGTCCCTCTCTGTCCCTCTGCCCCTCTCTGTCCCTCTCTGTCCCTCCCTGTCCCTCTCTGTCCCCCTCTGTCCCTCTGCCCCTCTCTGTCCCTCTGTCCGTCTGTCCCTCTGTCCCTCTGTCCCTCCCTGTCCCTCTCTGTCCCTCTGTCCCTCTGTCCGTCTGTCCCGCTGCCGCAGGTGGTGCTGGCGCTGCGGGCGCTGCAGCGGTACCGCCTGGGCACGGACATGTCGCTGTTCGCCACCGAGCAGTTCGGCGCCGAGCCCAGCGCCTCGTACCCCGGCTACCCGGGCGGCAGCGGCGTGGAGAGCACCGAGACCTACCAGAGCCCGCCCTTCAGCGAGAGCCTGGAGGCCAACCCCAAAGGTTACCAAGTGCCAGCCTACTGAGGGGCCGCGGCCCCGCTGTCCCGCCCCGCTGCCCCCAGCCCCGTCCCCCTGCCGTGGCCGCTCGGTGCCGGGTCCCTTTATTAGCTCGTTGTGCAGTGAATTCTGTACAGTGGTATTGGTTCTTGTCTTACCTGTCCCAGGGTTTCTAAGAGCAGTGTTCCCTCTAAGCCGGGAGGAAGGAAGGTTGGTAGTGCATCACCTGTGCGTGAGGAGGAGGAGGAGGAAATGTCCCAAATGTCCCCTCCGAGCTCTGCTGGGAAAGCCCAGGATGCCTTTTCCTCTCAGCAAACAGCAGCTGAGGAATTCTTATCTCGTTCTTCCAGAGCTAACACAGAATCCATGGAGGGTGGGTAGAGCTGGCCCTGGCTGCTCCCAGTGTGGAGCTCCCAGCCCAGGTTCCAGGGAGGTGCCAAATCCACGGGGAAATCAGTGGTGTCTGTGTTGTTTCCTTTGTATATACTTGCTGTACAAAGCAAATATCCAAACAGGTGTTTCCAAACGTGGTTTAGAGGCACAGCAGGCCGGGGTTGGGGTCAGTATCCAGAGGGCTTCTACGCTTCAGCAGGTTCTGGTTGAGGATTTAAAAAGTGGCTGTTAGAAATGGGGAACCAGCAGGAGCTGGTTGCTAACTGGGAATAGCCTGTGATCAGTGGCAATGTGGCACTTTGTGGTTCATTTCCTCGTGGGGGATTGGGAAATTTGTAAATTCCTAAGGAATTTTTGGTTGGCAGCGCTGACACATCCTCACCCTGGAGAGGTGAGGACGAGGTGAGGGGCTCGGACTCCACATCCAGGGCTATTAGGAGCAATATTGGAGTTTTATTTTTATTCTGGGAGCAGCCACCATCTGCCAGCTGCAGCAGAACCCAGGTGGGGACACGTGTGTCACCCTGCAGCCTTCAGAAATGAGGGATTATTCAGGCAGGGACCTGGGAAGGCAGCACAGGCCATTGGAGTCCATCCATCCCATGTGGGCTCCCACTGTGTTTGGTGTGGGGAGAGTCAGTGAAAAGCAGCCAGGAGGGAGGCTCAGGTTGAAGGTTCAGCTGCAGAGAGCAAAGGAAAGGAGGGAATGTGTAAAACATCCATTGCCAGCTCTCCCTGCCCGTGCGGCAGCTGCTCCAGGCTGTGCCACCAAGGGCTGAAACCTGAATTCCCAGCCCGGGGGTGGCAGCTCCATCCCTGGGGGCTCCTCCAGAGCCACCACTGCCTTGTGACCTCGAGAGGAGCAAGAGCCACCCCTGTGCTGTCCCCTCCCTGCCACAGGGCCTGGTCACCGCCGTCCTGCTGCTGGGATCAGAGCGCCCATTAACGAGCAGCAGGTAAATGCACTAATTAAGCAGCCAGTCATGCCCAGGTCACTGCCCGTGGCGCGTTCCTTGCCTTGGCTCCAGGCCCTGGCTGTGCCCAGCCCCTCACAGGTGCCTGACCGTGAACACCCAGCCCAGAGCAGCCTCAGCCTCGAGGGATTCCGGGATCTTTGTGGGTTTGTGGAGTCAGATTTGCTGGGAAAGAAAAGAAAATGAAAAACCCCGAGGATTTTAATACAGGGTACGGTAGAACTGTAGCAATATTTTCCTTAGAGGGAACACTGAAACTTTAGCAGCACAAACAGTACTTGTGTTAATATTTTAGCAAAATTATAATCAATTTAAATGTTTAAATTGATTGTACGTGAGACAATGTTCGTTGGGTACAGTGTATTTTTTCTAACTATGATATAACTGTTGCAGAGTTTCCGTGTAACCGTACAGAGCTCAAGCTGTGTCTGCCTGCGGGACGCGTCCCATGTGCCCCCTGCTGAATATATCACGCTCTGAATGTCCCCCCCAGGCCTGCATTGCCTTTCTTTGCCCCCACACGCACATCTCACCGCGCTGTGACCTCTGGAGCAGCAGCAGGGACACGGGGATGGCACCAGCACCGCTCCTGGTGCTTCCCAAGGCTCCTTTCAGCTTCCCAGGGTTTCCTTTTCCTTGTGCTGGGCAGGGCAGGAGGAAGGGCTGGGGGGCTTCTGGCAGCACAGGAGATGCTCCTGGATTAAAGCAGAGATGGAATAAATAACCTGGTCCCTGGTAAAAGCAGAGATGGAATAAATAACCTGGTCCCTGGTAAAAGCAGGGCTGGGAATAAATAACCTGGTCCCTGGTAAAAGCAGAGATGGAATAAATAACCTGGTCCCTGGTTAAACCAGAGATGGGAATAAATAACCTGGTCCCTGGTAAAAGCAGGGCTGGGAATAAATAACCTGTCAGCCTCAGCACTCAACAGGCACCTGGAGGGAGGCGAGCCCTGCTCCTCTGCACCCACAGTGCCCATGCCAGGCAGGGCAGGGTGGCACCTCTGCTGGGGTGGCACTGGGACGGGCAGGAGCCACACCTGGAGCGTTTTTCCAGGGAATGGCACCAGGCTGGTGTCCCATGGGCCGTGCCAAGGCCGTGTCACCAGGCAGGATGGGACAGCCCCAAACTCCCTGGCTGTGGACACTTCACCCAGTGTCCCCACAGCGTCCCCACAGTGTTGGGTGTCACCGTGCCCGGTGGCAGCCCTGGGTGTGCCCATCAGGGTGTGCAGGGAGCGCTGTCACCAAACACAGCCCAAAGGGGCTGTGGATGGAGAACCAGAGCCATGGCTGCAGTAACCCTGGGGTGCTGGGGGTTCTGGGATCTGGAACACCAATTTTCCATTTTTCTCCTCTTTTTCTCCCAGCTGTGCTCCAGCAGCACTCACCCCCTTGTAACCACCCAGGCCACATCCCAGGAGGGTGCCAGGGCTGTCCCAGATTTGTCCCAAAAGTGTGCCAGGATTGTCCTGAGCGTGCCAGGGCTCTGCCATCCTCACAGGCTGTTTGTAGCCCTCTGTTCTCCCCAGAGCTCACAGAGGGCTCGGCTGTGCTCAGCCCAGCCCAAAAGCCTCTGCACGGCGTTAGCTCTAAATTTGGGTGTAAAGAGCAGAATTCTAGGGTTCTGCATTTCCTGGAGCTGCACTCTGCCCCACCCATCCCCTTGCTCCAGGAGGCTCTGTCACAGCACTGCTGTTCCTCAGCACTGAGGTAACCCCATCGTGCACTGTGCAATTCAGGCATATTAAAATATTTGGAATTTTTGCCAACATTTCAAACTGTTCCTAGCAAAGGTGGAAGCTTCAGTGATGTTCAGTGAAAAGCATCCTCCCCCTGCATTACCTGCTGTGTGTCAGGGGCTGGAGCAGAGCCTGAGAGCAAAGCCCTCCTTTCCAGGGCAGCATTTGGGACCTCACTGCCCTTGGGATGAGATTCCCATCAGGTCATTCATGCACAACAACCGGTGACCCCCAGCAGTGCTGTTTGTTCTCTGCCCATCGGGCCCTCCCAGGGCTGTCCTGTCCCTCCCTGGCACAGCGCTGGCTCCTGGCTCTGCCCTCTGTTCCCTGGGAATTGCCATCACTGTTCCACGCAGTGGGAATTTCTCTCAATAAACACTGCTGCGCATTTCAGACCCCTCCCCAAGAGGTGGCTCTGGTCCCCCTGGTCCCATTCTCAGTCCCATTTTGTCCCCATGTCTGTCACAAGCCCCTCTCCCCCTCAGTGAGGCTCAGCCCTCGCTGCCTCAACTTGAAGCCCCAGTTCAGCTGCCTGGATTTTGTTGCAATACACATTCAAACCTCAGCTCCTCTCAGAGTTTTAATCTCCACAGCTCCCACCTGAGGGCTGCTGGTTCAGTTTCTTTGCCAATACCTCTGTCCGAGCAGACGCTTCCAGGAGTTGCAGTTGTCACTAACCTCTGTGCAGTGTAGTATAAAGTGGACTGTGTATGGAAATAAGTTTAAAATGTTTACAATTTTGTATATATTATATATATAAAAATATCTTTTGAGAGAACAATCTGTGATTCTGTATTTTCGGTGTCTGTGTAACCAACTGCAACTTATTTTCAATAAAGAGCTAAAAATGAATAGAAAAAAAAAAAAAAAGATTTGGTAATAACTTTATTGAATCAGGTGAGCACAAGGAACAAGGAAACTGCCACATCAGGCCCCAGAGATGCAGCAGCTCGAGGGAACTCCCAGGGAACTCCGAGCTGCTGATGGAGAAGGAACTGAAACCCAAGGGAAGACACAAGATGCTCCTGCAGGGAAGACATTTCACTCCCTGAACTTTGCAAACCAAATGGGGACAGCTGCTGACTGGAAGTGGTGGCAGCACCCAGCCCCCTCAGGGACCAGGATCAGCTCCAGGATCCTGAGTGAGGATCAGGGACTGCCAGGGGCTCGTGCACCCAAATCACCCTCCCCAGCCCCTTCTGGGCCAAACCCAACGTGCACAGCTGGTCACAACAGTCTTAAATATTCAAGAAAAGAAACCCAAAGCACTTGGCAGCCTGAGAGCAAGCAAAAATAACACATGTAAGGCAAGGAAGAGTGGCTGTGGGCAGGAGTAGCTCGTGGGTAATACTCTGAGCTCGATTCCATAGAAATGATGATGCTAGAAAAGCTGTGTTTCATCACTACAAATTACATAACTTAATGTGAGCTTTGTTCCTACACTTTAGAAATAACTAAACCTGGATTTGGGAGAGAATCAGACACTGAACTACAGCCAGGGGGGACTCCTGGCACTCCATCAGCTCAGAGCTGCTGCTGGAGGAGTCACTTGACAGGAGGAAGAGATTCCCCCTCTTCCTCTGGGGTGGAATTCGGGGGTGCCAAGGAACAGGAGCCAAGCCAGCCCGGTGGTACCCAGGGAGGTGCAGGTGTCAGACTACTGTAAACAGATAAATGCACTTAAAGGCACTGCAGAAAACATGGTCAGTAATCAGCAGCATTTAATGTCCCAGGATGCTGTTGGGAGCTCCCACCAGTAATACATCCAAGAAATTAGAAACATGGCAGTCATTAAATAAAATTCCTGTGTGCTTTACGGAGAGTAAAGCCTTAATGCTGTTACTGTACATGCAGGGCTACAAAATCAGCTTCTTGAAAGAACTTTACAGAAAAAGTCAGAGGCAACTTCAAATCTTGCACAGATCGGCCCAATTCTCCAAGCAGCAGAACTGACTCTGCAGAAAGGGAAACTCTGCAGCCCAGTGTGTGCAGCTCCCCATGTCACACAGCCCAGGGAGCAGCACTCTCTCTTGCACCTTTTACCCCTGACTAGTGTGATCTTCACTGAAATAGCACAAAAAAAATCAGAATGTTATAAGGGAAGCCACCTCCATTCATTTCAGCGATCCTTAACTTCCCCCACCCCCAAACCAGAAAGAAACCCCCAAACCAGAAGCTCATTCCCCTAGTGAGTCCCCTGTCATTCTGCAGATCCAAAAGGATTCCCAGCTATTGCATGTTCCAGGAGGAAGGAGCCCTGCCTGTCCCCCTGCAGCTCAGCCTAACCCCAGCCCAGATCTGGGAGCTCAGACAGAGGGTGGGGACGAGCTCTGGCCCATTCCCCTGACCCCTGTGCCCAGGAGGGCTGCCCAAATCACCTGCTCCTCTCTGCCTCAAGGGCACCAGCCCCCAGCCACTGCCAAACCTCGTTCCAAAGTGCACAGCCACAGCCAGAGCCTGGCTGCTGGCCCTGGGCAGAGCTAGCTGATGATCCTGCTGATCGCCTGCAGCGAGGGGAACTCC